GGCGTCGCGCTTGAGCTCGACGAGGGGCTTGTCGACGGTGTGTGAGGTGCGGTTGGAGAAGGCCGCGAAGCCGACGACACCACCGGTTGCGACAACGGTGGCGGCGGCGATGGGCTTCGCCAGGCGGGAGAAGCGCGAAGCCATGCTCCCAAGGTTTTGTAACGTCTTGTTTTTTTGACTTCGTATGCTCTCGGGGGAGTGTTGGGCCGAAGTGTCCAGAAGGACCGAGAGGGCGGCGGTTGGAGAAGGGCGACTTTCCCAGTGACAGGTGGGAGTCGCGGTGTCTTCTCTACGTTGGTGATGTTGTGTTTGTTGCTTGGGATGCGACAGGTGGTGTTCCTGGTTGAGAAGGGAAGGGAAGAGGAAATAATAGGGAAACAGAAAAGGCGCCACGGACCCGACTTAAGAGGGTCAGGACCAGCAAGGTGAATGAGGATGTAAAGGTATAGGTATAGGTAGCGTAGATCGGCCTTGGTAGAGGAGAGGTTCGGGCTGGGCCGCCTCACCCGCAACTTTGGGCTTCGATTCGTGGAATGACACCCCGAGGAGGACCAGGAATGGTTCCGTTCGGCGCTACTAAGAATTTTCCGTTGGTCTGGGCAGGGCAAACAGATGCATGCACAGAGAATGAGGGAAGAAAAAAACAAGAGGTTAAGTGGGAAGGGCCGGCGGATGGAGGGGAGGGGGGGATCAATCGGAGATCGCGTCGTTGCTCTATGTGGGAATCCGGACGGGAGCTCAAGGGTGGTCACTTTTGGCTACCTTTGGCTAGGTAGGTACTCGTCTCAGTCCGTCCTTCCTTACGCAAATAGCAGCACTCGGGGTCACTCGCATTCACCACCTCCAGCTACCCCCACGTGGTGTCAGGCCGGTCGAATCTGTGGTCGCTGGTCTGTCAGTCAAGGCCTCGTCCGTGCTCCTGCTGACCCTGCCTCACATCGCATTCCCGAGTCACTGCGACGCACCGTCTTGCTGGTGGTGGTGGTAGTGGTGGTGGTGGTAGTGGTGGTGGTGGCATTGCACACTGTCATTGCATTGCCAATGCTGAGGCCGTCATTGCACCAGCAGCAGGTAGCTCTCTCTCTCCTCTGGGGACCTTACTCGAGCTCCAGACTCGTGCTTGACGGGTCTGACATCATGGGTGGCATAAACGTGGCACTGGCACCGAGCTCAGACCGAACAAAGAGTGACTTCACCCACCAGTGGCCCAGTGGCTGACTGACTCTTCGGCGGCGGACCACGACCATGGAAGAGGCAAGGCAGCGACCCGCTTGTTCGTCCATGGAGAAGTGGAAATGAAAATGGGGAAAGGCACGAGATGTGTCGGGGCCCCGGGGTGATGGGCATTGGCAGGCGTTGCAAGCGTTGCGGTGCCATCCCATCCGTGTGGTGTTTCCAGTCAGAGCCTCAAATGTCATCCAGGGGCCGTCATGCATCTCGGTATTCGAGCCCCGAGATTGGGTGCTTTCGGTAATGAGTCGGCACTCTTGAGACGAACACCCCTGTCTCGGTCGTTTCGGTCCTGTCTGCCGAGTCAGAGGCTAAAAAAAAGAAAGAACACAGACAAATTGCTGCAGAAAAGAAAGAGTGGGTCCGTCTCGCAATGATCGGCGAAACCCTCCGAGCCCACACTGCGATGGGGAAGGTGGAAGTGGGGGCCCGGTTCCATTAGGATCCCGTCCCCTTTCTCGACCCCTTCCTTCTCCTCCTCCACCTCTCCCCTCTGCCCCCTCTCGACTCCGATTGCAACCACTCAATCGACTCCGTCCAACTACTCCTCACTTCAGCCACCACCCTTCTCCAACTCGCTACCCCTCGGTATTCTCTTCCCGTCCCTCCCTCACCACGCGCAGAAATCGACCTGCCTGCTGGATCTTACTGCGGTGCACACGCGGATGCGGCCAAGCAGCCACGCTTGCACAATCTTCAATTCGGGCCGCCCAAATCTGCGTCTCCTCTATCGTCTCCATCGTGGGATGTTTGCCCACTCAGCGCCACGCCATTTGGCACTCTTCGTCTTATCCCTCGCGAGACTGAGGCCGTCCCAGGCCTGATTACTCTGGGTCCCGTCCGCCGTCCAGAACTTCAGGCCCGATTGCCCAAACGCCGAAGTTCGTCTTAAGAAGAGCGGCTTGCCTCCTAATGCGGACCGTTTTTGGCTCCCGAGATGGACGGCAAAGAAGGCTCGAACCATCCGTCATCTTGGGCGTTCCAAAGCCATGGCTTATTTCGCCGTCCATACCATCCAACAAGAACGACATGCCGCCAAGTCCTCCAGAACCTGCCTCAGCCTACCGAGTCGTCCCTCATGACCCAGCTATTCCCGCACCTTGTCCACTCACATCGGCCGAGATCCGGGCATGAGTAGCGCTACTTCGACGGTGCACAGTACCTGTACGTACACACGGCCAACTTCCCCCATCAGGTGCTGGATGGTAGGGAACATCGCTGTGTTCGACACCTGCCACACCACACCACAGCGCACATTCAGCAGCCGTCAGCACGCACACCCGCCGTCTGTCGTCTTCCGCGCCGCCACTTTTTACCGCACCCCGACTCCATCTACGCCGCAAAGTACCTCGACCGTCGCCGAACATCCCGGGCCGCTGCGCTGTGCAACGCGTGGAAAAGTGGACGAAGGAACATAAGCTGGCCATGGTGGAAACGGCCCCAAAGAGCCCACCGACGGCCTTGCAAATGATCACGATGCAATCATTGGGATGGCGAATGATGCTTCGTGTCCTAGGCTTCCCGGTTTGCCTGGGCTTTGCTGCAGCTGCTCGACACTCGAAATACACGCCATCCCCTCGCCCATCGACTTACACGCAAGACAGCACTCAGCCGTGTACTCAGAACTGTCGTTCACTGCACATTCAAGCAATGTTTCGAAACTCGGTCATTGCTGCGCCCCACGGCTGCTGATTGCTTCTCATCCCCGAGACCTATCAATCTGAGTAATCGGCACCAATGCCAGGTCCACGGCCCATGACGAGCTGCCAGCATGCCACCATCTCGTTGGCTGCTGGGCACTAGTCTGACAGCGCCATGCTACCCCGCGGGCACCCCAAACCTACTCCAAATACGCAACCTAATCTTTGCGATGTGCAGCCTTCGTCGATTCGTTGCACTCTGACTAAGACCGCTGGCACGCTGGTCCATCGAGTCAGACCTCGCGAACCTTGGGGAACCCCCAGATTCCTGGACGTCGACCATTGTCGATGCGAGGTTGCTATACACTGTCGGGACATCGTTGACTAACACGCAGAACAGACACTGACAGCAACTCGGACAGCGTGGCATGGAACACTGCCCTGATTCCACCCAAACTCTCAGGTCATCCGCGACAATACCCTCATCGAACCAAGACGTGTTCGTGGGATGCGTCTGAAGTGGCTTCGATATCACCTTCGTCGCCACCCATCCAATCCGCGCCCTCTCCCGCACCTGCTTGGACAGAGAGGAGTTCAGGCGGACAAGCTAGCGCCAACTCTGCCCGTCTTTCTTACATCGATTGCGCAACACCCACCACTTCTCCACGAAGCTTGACACCTGGCCAGTCCGTCCGATCTCCAAGGCCAACAGCTTCGCGCGGGAAGACTCGTCGGTGACCGTCAGCCGCCGGACGCGCCTCCGAATCGTGCAGCCATGTCTCCGAGCGAAGCCATCGGAGGTACAGGCCACAATCTTCGCGAACCCCTCGTCCGTCTGCTGCCAGATCCACCGTCTACTGCCAGCTCGAGCAATCACACGCGCAGGTCAAGCTGGCTGCGTAGGCAGGAGTCCAAAGCAGCCATCATCGGCTGCAGACGGACGGGGCCCCGCAAGCCACGATGCACTCAAACTGGATTTGCATGCGCAATCAATGCTACTAGAGACACAATCTCAAGGCCTTCATTCGTGAGTCGCGGAGGCCGTCATCTGCGGCCCCCATGCAATTGCCAGACTATTGGACCTCTGAGCATGTTCCAGCTGCAAGACCATTCCAGAACCTCAAGCCCCTTGCCCTGTCATTGCATCTGGAAAGCGATTCCGGCAGCATGGCTCGCTGTCTTTCTTCAGGCCCAGCCCAGTGGGTGCTTCTGGCTGCTTTCCTTCCCCAATCTGTTGGGGCAGGTTGGGGGACCCCGTAATTATTTTCCTGGCTAAAATCGCCGACACGACGGAAGAATTCCCAGGGCGCCAGACATGGCCCGCACCTCGGGGCGTCGTGACAATCTTTCAGCGAACCAAAATCGCAGGGCTTGCAAAAACAGGGCGATTCAGGGTCCTCGTTGACGCCTGACAGTACTAATTGACTGCAACATCCGTAGTCGGGCGGGCGCCTCATCTCGTCTCGCCTCGTCCGTGGTTTTGTTTTTGTCGTGAATGGCTTTTGATCTCTTCTCTTCTCACATCTTGCAACAGCACACATTTGTTTGAACTTGAAATGGTATTGTGATTGAACGATTCTTTCCTCTCTCTCATCCTTCATGCTGCGAGCAAACCCGATAGCGGCGGCAAGCCTCAACTCAACCCACGCCAACACCACAGAAAAAGGACACAGGCGCTACCCAAAGATCGACACCGCTCATTCCGCCTCCCAACGCGCCCGCGCCCAGTCAACCCAGCAGAATAGTTTTGCTTGTCCAACAAGAAACTGACACTTGACTCTCGACATCCAAGCAAGCAAGCAAAAACAAAAACAAAAAGCCAATTCATCAACGTCGCTTTTTCTTTCGACCGTGAGGTTTTTGTTCGTTTTTTTTTTCGTTTCGTTTCGATGGCACCCGATGAGCGGTGAACACTCACGCCCTATGAGAACCCAATGCGCGGGCCATCATTCTCTCTCTTCCTCTGTTTTCTCATGGTATCATTGTTCCCGATCTCCAGTCTTCTTTCTTACTGTCTCATTCTCATGAATCTCTGGGGACACTTCATACCGGGCTTCTCTCTCTCAAGACCCAGGGACGTAGTCGCGCTCGAGTTGAGTGTCAAACGACACAAGGCAAGAAGCAGCATGTTTATACCTTGCTGTTATACGTGTTGGACCAGACTTCACGACGGGGCTGGAAGAGGCGCTTGAGGCCAAAGTAGGGGCTGTTGATGGGGCTCTCGCCCGTGTAGAGGAAGACGTCGTACAGGAAGCCTCCGAAGAGGGTGCCGAAGAAGGGGGCGACCATGGGGATCTAAATTCGACGTATATCGTTAGTCACGGGACTTTTTCCGCGGAAAGAAAAGGGACTTTGGTGGTGGATGGATCTCAAGATTCTCGCCACGCAGCGGAAACAACGCAAGACCGAACGCCCATCTCCGAGGCAGGGTACATACGGAGACGAACCGAGGCACACGACAAGCAGGGCAAGAAAAAAAAAGGAGAGATAGGGGAGGATGGGGGCAACGACAGCAACGTACCCAGAAATAGTATCCACCGGCGGACCACACCTCAGGACCGTATCCGACAATGTACGAAACCAGGCGGGGGCCAAAGTCACGAGCGAGGTTGATGGCGTATCCGGTCTCCCAGCCCCAGCAGGCGCCGATGCCGAAGATGAGGAAGAAGAGGCACAGCGGCATGAAAGGCCCCGCGGCGCCGTTGGCCGGGTCGGCGAGGGCGAAGATGACGAGCTGGAGCAGGCTCGAGCAGATGAACTCGGAGAAGAACATGCCGGTGCGCGTCATGAACTCGGCCGGGTATGTGCAGAAGATGCCGGCGGTGGCGTTGGGGCCGGAGACGGTGCGGATGCCCTTGCCCTCGAAGTTGTCGATGGCGGACATGTAGTTGCCGTAGAGGATGAAGGCGGCGGCCATGGCGCCGAGCAGCTGGCCGATAAAGTAGATGGGGAACTTGCGCCAGGGCATGCCGCGGTACACGCAGTTGGCGAGTGTCACTGCCGGGTTGAGGTGGCCGCCGGATTTCTTGCCGACGTAGACGCCCAGCATGACGCCCAGTCTGGGGGAATGTCAGTACATGCTGTGGCATCAATGACGCGCTCTCTCATCGATGAAGTCACGATAAGAGATGCCCGTGTGATGAATTCTAGAAGAATCATCAGGTTGTGAAAAACTTACCCCCAGCCCCAGGAGATACTCTGGTAGTCACCCTTTGTCGAATTACTGAGCACGACCTGGGCGACGACGCCGTCGCCGAACATGATGAGGACCATGGTGCCGAAGAACTCGGAAAAGCCGTCCTGGAGGTTCTCGCGCACGCGGGACCACCACAGCTCCTCCTCATTGGGAGGCGTCATGGTGCCCGCGGCGTGCTCCTCGTGCGTCTCTTCGCCTCCCATCTCGGACTTGAAGACTGGAATGTGTTGCTTGCCGACGGACGACGAAGACTCAGACACCGATTCCGCTGTGTGAACCACGATGGACATTAGAAACACCGCGATAACGGAGGGATGCTGTCAAGGCAAGATGACGACGAAAGCAGAACGTTTTGAGTTTTTGATGATGGGAGAGATGAGAGTTGACAACGCCAAGCAAGAAGGAAAGGGAGAGAGAGAAGCGGAGAGAGAGGGAGAGGAGAACGCGGGGTGGTGAAGATGAGACGAAGGGACGGACGATGGTCTGGCCAAATATCATCCCACGTCTCCCATGGGGAAGAAGCAACTCTTATGGTCCCCACGGGCTGATCACATCCCACGGGGCTGGATGACCGTTGCACCCGATCCGCCGGGTTGACAAGCTTGGGGAAAGAGGAGATGGAGGAGAACGAAGAGGGGGGCACGGGCTTCGGGGGTTGCTCGCAAATGCACGAAAGCTTGACGCTTACCCATCTTTGATATTGGGTTACTTCTTTTCCTTCTCGTCCTTTTTTGTTTAAACTTGCTTGCAGCGTGCTGCCGACTCTCGTGTGGATCTTCCGGACCCGATGAGACTCTGATGGTCAATCTTGGATGGGACACACAAGGTGGTTCCTAATCCTTATCCCACCCCCGGGATTCAAGCAGCCACGAGGCTTCGAACGCAGGAGATTGGCTCCTGCTTCTCCTGATCCGGATCTTTGGGATACCAGCAAGTCGGTTACCGACGTGCTTCACGAGGGGAAGATACGAAGAAGGGGGGGCGTGTATCGTTGGTACGCGGGCCTTTGCGGATGAGAAGGTACGGGAGGAGCGAAAAAATCGAACGATGTGGGCGAGAGGAAAAAAAGAAGTCGCTCAGGTGGCCTCGGTGTTGCAGAAGGCAGAGAAGAAAGGCAGACAGACGGTGGGACGAGGGGGATGAAGGGGAGTGTGATGCAGTTCGGTGGCTCACACCGAAGTTGAGGAGGTTGACGGGGACGGAGGAGACGTTATTACGGACGACGGCCGAGGTTTATTCTGTGAAGGAATTCTGGATCTGGAGACTGGGATCCGGGGCACCATGGAGACGTTCCTTTTCGTCTCCCCTCTTTTTACCCCCTTCTCTTCTGGTTTTTGCTGCTCGCAGGTCTTTTCCGGGGTTCGCCAAGATGCGGACGGGACACACGCACTCTCTGCGCCTGGGATGGGGATACGCAGGCAGAGCGGCAGGACCAAGACGCACAGGTTGCGCAAAGTAGAGGTACAGAAACGTACGAAACCCACACACACCCGCGCCACTGATAGGCTTCACTTCCTAGCAACTCAGCAATGCAGGGTGTGCCTAACTGCCTCTCTTCTGGCGCATGGAAAACGCGGAATGGGTGGTTCTCCAGAGGTAAGCTTCTGGGGCGGTTCCCACGTGTGGAGAGGGGCGTCGTGGGACCGCAAAAGATTTGAGCGCGTGAGATGAGGACCTTTGCGCCGCGGCCGAGACAAGAAGAGGAGCGCAGCTTGCAGAGGGTAGGTGAAAGAGGCTGGATGGAGTTCTGGCCGAGGATGCCAAGGTAGGTTTTCGGTGCGGCTTCCGGGAGACCCGTTTTATTCGATCCTCCGTCCGCTTTTTTGCGCAGTTGCTTTACTGATTGCGGCGTCGTATGCAACTCTGTCGTGCAAGGCGCTGCAGACTCTGCATTTGCATCTCAGCTCCCGAGGTTGTTTGGCAGTTTGCTGTTCTTTCACTACTAAGAAAAGATCTGGGGGAAAGTCAAAAGGTCGGCTGCTGGGTAAGTTTGCCTCTCTTCCCACCCGGAACTTCGTGGTCTTACCCCATTAATACCGATGAAACTTTGACTGATCAGATCGAAGATTGCCGCTTTTGATGATGGCATCCCTGGACCAATCTGGGGCCCGGGCAAAGGACGCCAAGGGTTCAGGGTGTGGAGCACCCTCTCTGGTTTTTTGCCCTCTCTCAATCCGACAGTGACGAGCGGCCGAGAGAGAGCCCACACCACTCCCGAACTATGTAACCGCCGCGGCAAACGTCATACACGGACGGGTACGTCTAACACCAGCACCACCACCAGCACCACCAACCACCGCAGCCGACTGACCTCGCAAGCAGACAAGTAACACGTTGTTGTACTTTTTCTGTCTCTTAGTCGACAAAAGCTTTCGATTACTAGCCAATTGGACCAATGACGTGAGCTGCCCACACTGGCTCCCGCAAAAAAACGAGGAATCTTGAGCCGCGGCTCGTCGCAAAAAAAAGAGGCGTATTCCCATCTCACGCATCCTTGGCCTGCACTGCATCGCGGTTGGAACTTTCGCCTCTTTCCCCGCAGTTTGTCGTTCGCAGACGGACGAATAAGACTGATGGTGTGAGCGCGAGTGTAACGTAGTGGAGGGGAACCAGGTCAGCATCGACGGTTCTTGACCAATTTTGACAAGATGACAAGCGGCTTAGAAAAGTTCTAGTCGTCGAAGCGCACGTCGGCACATGATCTGGTGCATGATCGGGTTGGATTGGCGCGTTCAATTGGGAAGTCGAAGCCGTTGGTTCGTTTCAACTCGTTTGCGATGCCATGTTGGTTGGAGACACTGCTGTGCCGCGCGGCGGCCATGTCCGAACGGACTTCTGCCCACCCTCATGTCCACGAGATCCTCATCCCATGCTGCTCTTTTCCCTCAAAGCCGCACGTAAGAGGCGGGGGATCCAGCCCGTTCAGCTCTAGCCTGGCGAGTCTTGGACGGCCTTGGTCTGCAAGAATGGGTCCAGGTTGTTGTGGGATCGTGTGCCAGTCTAGTAGTTCCGCACACCAGTGACACCACACACACACCGCGGGCTATCCGTAGCATCCCGTGGGACCATCATCTCGTCTGGTCACCTCGTCCTTCTTTTTTCGTGTGAAGAACCCCGCTCTTCGGGCGACCGGTGCTCGAGATAACGGCCGGCATAAGGCCGGACCCACCGGCCGTGGAGTTCGCCCCGACGCAGACCGAAACTGATCTCGTTGCACTGCGCCTGGGAATGACATCAAGCCCGTCCTCCCCCGCTTTTACTCGCTGTTTGCGGCCGACATTGCCTGCTCCCCCCTCGAACCATCGGCCGACCAGCTGCGGCTACTCGGTGTGCCCACCCCGAATCCCCATCCTGCTGCCATCCCGGAATTCCTCGCGTGCAATTGAAGAAGGATTCGGCTGCCTGTCATTGAAGAAGTACCTACTTGCATCCGCATTCCCCCGTTGTGACCCGTTCGCATGCCCCAGTGGGGGATGATCCTGCATTTCCGGGGCCCCCTCGTTGACAGAGCTGCGGTTCTCCCAGTCCGGCCTGTTGGTGCTCATCTCGTGACATCTCCACAGATCTGGGGATGGGGTAAGGTAGGTCGAGATGGGAGAATGAGGGGTAGCTTTTGTTCGAGAAAGCTGTCTCGTTCCTGTTCCCCATGGAGGGAGCTAACCCGACGCCGCACCTAAGCTGTTGGAGGAGCTGAGCTGGGTTTCCCACATGCGCCGCACACATGGTACTGGGGCCGGAGGGGAACTCACTACAAATATTTTGTCAGCCCGTGAAACTCAAAGCCCAATCGTGAACCTGTGCTCCTCTCCTTCTTCCCTCCTCACCTCGTTCCTCAAGATACCCAATTGTCCCTTCTTCTCCTTCTCAAGCTCATTGCGCCCGTCGCCGTCGTCGTCCTCGTTGGTGCCATTGAATGCTCTCGTCCCTTCTTCCCAGCCGTTTCAAACTCTCCTCCAACAAAATGTCTTCCTCTGCCGCCGCCAACGGCCAGAAGCCGTCCTTCGTCGGTGCCATTGACCAGGGCACCACGAGCACGCGTTTCCTCATCTTCAACCCCCACGGTGAGGTCGTTGCGACGCACCAGCTTGAGTTCAAGCAAATCTACCCCAACCCTGGGTAAGTCGCGCCTTCAATTGGTTAGCTCTGGTCGCAATGGCGCAGAAAGCTAATTAGTTTGCGATAGCTGGCACGAGCACGACCCCGAGGAGCTTGTCTCTTCGGTCGAGGCGTGCATTGACGGCGCCGTGCAGGCTTTTGAGACCCAGGGCCACTCCCGCGACCAGATCAAGGCTGTCGGCATCACCAACCAGAGAGAGACCACCGTCCTTTGGGACAAGACCACCGGCAAGGCTCTGTACAACGCCATTGTTTGGACCGATACCCGTACTAAGGACCTCGTCCGCAAGCTCAAGCACCGTCTCGGCGCCAGCGAGCTCACCCAGCGATGCGGTCTTCCCCTCTCCACATACCCCTCTGTTGGCAAGCTTCTCTGGCTCATTGACAACGTTCCCGAAGTCAAGGATGCTTACGAGCGCGGTGTTCTGGCTTTTGGTACCGTCGATACCTGGTTGGTCTACAAGCTCAATGGCGGCCCGTCGCGCGATGTCTACGTCTCCGATCCCTCCAACGCCGCCCGTACCATGTTCATGAACATCCACACCCTGCAGTACGATGAGGACCTCATTGACTGGTTCAGAATTGACCCCAAGAAGGTCAAGCTGGCCAAGATTGTGCGCTCGTCTGATCCCGAGGCCTACGGCACCCTGGCCAACACCGCCCTGAGCGGTACCAAGATTACTGGCTGCTTGGGTGACCAGTCCGCTGCTCTGGTCGGCCAGAAGGGTTTCACTGCTGGTCTTGCGAAGAACACATACGGCACTGGATGCTTCCTGCTGTACAACATTGGCCCTAAGCCCGTTATTTCCTCTCATGGTCTGCTCACCACCGTTGCTTTCGACTTTGGCCCCGGCAAGACCATGTACGCCCTTGAGGGCAGCATTGCTGTTGCCGGATCTAGTGTCAAGTTCCTCGTGGACAACTTTGGCTTCATGGAGTCGTCCTCTAAGCTCAGCGCCCTCGCCGAGACTGTCGAGGACAACGGTGGTTGCACATTCGTTACCGCTTTCAGCGGTCTCTTCGCTCCTTACTGGATCGACGATGCGCGGGGTACCATCTTCGGTATCACGGCGTACACCCAGCGTGGTCACATTGCTCGCGCCACCCTCGAGGCTACCTGCTTCCAGACCAAGGCCATCTTGGACTCCATGGAGAAGGACAGTGGCGCCGCCCTCACCGAGCTCGCCGTCGACGGTGGCATGTGTAACTCCGACCTCGTCATGCAGGTAAGAATAAGCCCCGGACCTTTTCCGAGCCTCGGTGCGGAAGGAAGAAAAACACAGGCGCTGACCCTTGTAACAGACCCAGTCCGACATCATTGGCATCCCTGTCAACCGTCCAGGCATGCGCGAGACCACTGCCCTCGGCGCGGCCATCGCGGCAGGCTTCGCTGTGGGCGTATGGAAGAGCTTCGACGAGCTCAACGACGTCAACCTGGAGGGTCGCACCATCTTCAAGCCCCAGATCACGGACGAGGAGGCTGGCAAGCGCTTCGGCCGCTGGGAGAAGGCTGTCCAGATGAGCAAGGGCTGGTCTAGCTAAAAAGATTATTGGAGGGTCGGATTCCATCTTTTCTTTTCATGATTAATTATTTTTGCCATATACCACTGTGTTGCTTGGGGAATCCCATCACGACGGCGGCGCGAATGAGGTTTGGCGCCTGTTGGAGACAGCTCCGATTTGTATCATAGGTACCACGAGGGAATGACGCATTTTTGCCTCTTTGTCGAAACGTGTGTGTTTGTGTGCTGGACCTCGTGCTCCGTTCGTGTGCGCTGGCCTGCAATATTTTCAAGACTGCCGAGTCGAGGTTTTCAAGGAAACCCGCAGTCGCAGCATCATCGCGATCCATCTCCACGTGCGGAAGTTCCCTGTAACGTACGGATGATCGGAAGGCGGGCTGTCCCACGTCTCCATCGTGCCTTTGACTGAGTCGTGAAGGCAGTGGCCCGCAGGGAAATGGTCGTCATTGCTGCCACCGTGGAGGACATTCCGCGCTTCTCGCTCTCCTCGGACGAAGACCGCGGAGGGTCGCGGGTGACGATCGCAAAACCACCAGCCATCTCATATGGTGCCCCGCGGTGGGAGACATCGTCGAAGCCACTGCCGTGCCCCCCACCTTTTGACGGCTATGAGACCGCATGGATGATCCTCGCAGAACCAGCCTTGACAGGGGAAGGCAACGAGCGGGGTGCGGGTTCGGACTGGCCGGGGTGCGGCGCTGTTTGCCAAATAGGGTGGGAGTTTTCAGTTGTAAACTTGGAGACAATGAGGGGAATAGATGGCGGTAACGCGGTTCCTGCGTCTCTTTTGCTGTACCAAGAAGCTGTAATAGTACCTTTGTTCCGTCTGCCCATTGTGTGTTGCGACAAATGTCTTCGGAGATGACCCTCGTTATCGTAATCGCCCCCAGGGACTCGCGGCATTGGGCGCAACGATCTCCCCTCATCCGTTCCGTCCATCCCTCGTTGCCGCGGGATGACTTACTGTGCAACGGTTTTTCCGTGAGAGACGAGGGCGCAGCGGCCACGGGACCGGTTGGTTCGTTGACTTGGTTGGCGCGCGACGGCGGCGCGGCGGAGTCTTTATTTCTCTCTTCCGCCGTCTTCCGTAGCTTTTTTGCGACACCAGATCCAAGCTCTTATTGTGGACAGCAAGTGGGCCCATGACTGGACCTGGACCGATTTTCTTCTGCGCATCCTTCTTCTCTTTTGTGTGTCGGGCGAGAACACCGAAAAGCCCCGTGGCTCGCTGGCACAGGCACCTCTGGTCAGAATTTCTTCTCACTCAGACACACCACAGCGCTCAGTTGCCTGCTGTCATCTCGCGGACAAGCTTTCCCGACTCTTTTCCCCCTAGTCTCGTCGAATCTTTGCCTCTCGCTGAAGATTCGGTAGTCTCTCCCTCTTCTCCTGTTTGCCGCATCGTCCCCTCAGTCTCGACCCTGTGCACACCACCCCCTTCAGACAAGCCCTTGCTGCATTCAATTGTGCTTGCGCTTGCGCTCTGCATAGCGCAGCACTGCAGACAGACAGACAAGCTTGCTGCAGGTTCGTGCACTCAACTGGAACCAGCTGCCCACGTTGCCTAGCAAAAGTCCAAGACTTTGCCCTCAAGCCGGCCAACCACGGCGGGCAACGCCGGATTATCCCCATATGCGCATCCAGCTGCTGCGGCGCATCCTCCACCATCCCGGCCGGCTGAGGCAATTCGTTAGCCTACCTTTTACTGCTCGCTGCACGCCCGCATCGCCTAGTGAAATGACCACTTTCTGACATCAAATTCGGCCCTGCTCCTCAAGGCTCCATCCAAAAGGGCCCTGATAAGAGCAAAACACTTCACTTTCTGTCAGAGTAAAAAGGGGAAATGTGGAGTTCCCACGAACATGGGACAGACATGATAGGAACGAATGCAAATGCACGTCCGCAATCAATGGCCGAGGAGGAAGCGAACTCGGTCTTCAGTCACGACGAAGGCTCGAGTGGTGATGAGACAGCCAACAATGGCTCGGCCGGGCCACCGAGAAAGCGCAAGAGGGAGAAGCACCAAAAGACGTCGTATGTTGTTTGCTTGCCGATGGATGACGCTGTAACACCTGGCTGACCGCGCTTCAGATGTGAGCTGTGCAAGGCGAGAAAGGTGAAATGCGATCGCGCAGAACCGGCCTGCTCATGGTGCGCTCGACACAACCGCACGTGTGTCTATCTTGAGAGACAGAAGCCTGGAAGCCGCATTGGATTCAGTCTCGAGCTTGAGGCCAAGGTCAACAGGCTCGACGCGCTCCTACAGGCCCTGGGTCGCCGAGTGGAGGACCACATCGCCAATGATCACGTCGCCAACGGCAACACCCAGGCCCTGTCCCCGGCCATCAGTAACCAAGCATCATCTCAGGTCGAAGGATTTCATCATGATGGGAATGGCGTCAGTCCCGCGACCGCTATTCCACGGCCAGCACCAACAACGAACGGGAGGACGCCGGCTTTCTCGAGTCCCTTCTGGCAGGGTGGCGATGCTCAGGAGGCCCTTCAGAACGGTGACCGAACCTCAGTCCAGGCTCTCCTAAACCTTTCGGCTGGTGAATCTTTCAGTCAAACAGGTGCATCTCCCAGCATTTCTGGGCCTCGGAAAGATGCATCGTCGTTGTCGACTGTGTCAGAGTTTCCGCCACACGACATGCTCTACACGCTTGTCGACCTGTACTTCAAACACTGCAACACATGGTGTCCTATCCTTGACCGCAAGACAACATTCGGCGCCTTCTTCGGCTCGACTTCCCTGACCGAAGCCGACCGTGTTCTGTTACACGCTATTGTAGCAACGACACTGAGGTTCATGAAAGATCCGCGACTATCACCCGAGATGCGATCTCATTACCACGCCTTGTCGAAAGGACGAGTCCAGATATACGCGATGGAGAATGTCAGCATCGCGGCATTGAGAGCTTTGGTCATTCTGTGCTTGGATGAGCTCGGTACGTCCAACGGGCCGCGTGGTTGGAACATGCTTGCGCTGCTCTCACAGAACGTGAGACAGCTTGACTTGTGCGAGGAAAGCAGCGTATACCTCACGGCCGAGGCCGAAGATACACCGCATACCGGGTCGATACGAAGAGTTGCAACAGGGCGTCCGGAGTCGTGGATCGAAGATGAGGGCCGGAGGAGACTGTGTTGGATGGTATACCTTCTCGATCGATACGCAACGATCGCAACGACCACATTCGAATTCATGCTCGACGACAAAAAGATGAAGCGCGGCCTTCCGTGTTCGTACGACTTGTTTTCCCGAAATGTGCCGGTCGAGACGAGATCATGGAGCCCGTCCTCCGATCCGACAGCTCCTCCAGCGATCAACAAGCCGGACAACTTGGGGAGCTTCTCGTATCACTGCGAAATTCTCCGGATACTCAGCAAAGTCCACGATTTTCTGAAAACACCCATCGACGTAACATCATCGGGCGAGATGGCCGTCTGGCGCAACACATACAGGTCACTAGATGGTGCGCTCGACAACTGGTTGCAAAGCCTGCCGAGTGAATACAGCAGGATATCGGCGCTGTGCCACTCCGATCCAGCCAGCCGTGTCGCGAACTGGTTCATGCTGCATAGCGCGTATGTCACGTCGGTGGTGCGCCTGCATTCCTCGGCTGCGTACCCCACCGTGAGATCTCACATATTCGTCCCGTCACATTATGCAATGCAGCGATGCCTGTCGGCCGTGCAAAGTCTCGGCGACATTGCGCAAGACGTGTTCGAGGCTAATGGTCTCGACCTGCTCGGGCCCCCCTTTGCCTTCTCCCTATGGGTTGCTGCTCGGTTGCTGCTCGTCCATGCCGCAACCGTAGGCTGCCCGGTTGATCCCAAGATTGATTTCTTCATCGAAACCCTCAGACATGTCGGCCAATACTGGGAGGTGGCAAATAATTATGCCAAAATCCTTGCTCGAGTAGTTCAGCGAGGACGCCAAGGCGACATGAACTTTACTGCCATGAGAAAGTCAGTACCCCGTGTTCGCCATCCCTCCAGCGCCCGGACTTTGCTGACAGTGTGATCCTCAGGAGTGCTCATGATTTGGTGACTTTGACATCCTCAACACGGCGGTCTGGCTTGGAGCCCACATCGACCCAGGTGACGTCGTTAAGCGAGCTGGACAACATCGACGTGTTCGACTTCTTCAATTATCCGAAGATGTCGGACCCACAAACGAGAGCCACCAACGGCCAGACCAATATTTTGCAAGCGCAGGCCATGAGCGGGCTAGGAGGCGATCCCATGAGATGCACAGGCGTACCAGACCCAGAATCAGACTGGCTGGGATTCAATACCCCTTTCAATTGAGGCGGTGTCGGCGGATTTCGCGACCCGCGAGGTTTTTGTTGCCAGGCTTGACGTGTCGTGGAAGATACCACATACCACTTGAAGAAAGCTGTGGCTGGCGCTAGAGGATTGGACTTTGAAGAGGCGTTTCTGGGGCGCTGTAACCTTGATTATTGATGTATCTCCTGTGGCTTCGAGATACAGCCGCAAGGGAGGTCGGCCCAATTGAATTCGCTGATCCCCGCACAGCTGACGAGACACACTCCACCGTGATTGGGCTCAGCCACTGGCCGTCCGTGTTCGCCATGACGTTGAAGTTGAAACGTTGTCCCCTGTCCGCCCTCAACATCTTGGAACTGCTCTTCACAACCTGCAACGATCTCATCAACCATTGAAACTGACACAATACATTGTGAAGAGACGAACATACCACTTTCTTCAATTTCAATCAAATATGGCGCCAAACCAAGGTCTCGTGCACCTCAAGGAGTACGACATCAAGGACAGCAATGTCGAGCTCATTGGCTCGGACATTGACCATCGCGTGAAGTACAACTCCGCCGCAACCGAGCCCGCATGGAACGACGGAAAGGTCGGCCAGGAGGCAGGCCTGCACATCTGGCGCATCGAGGAATTCGAGGTCGTCCCTTGGCCGAAGGAGAAGTACGGCCAGTTCATGGACGGCGACAGCTACATCGTGCTCCACTCGTATAAAGTCGGCTCCAAGGACGATGCTGAGAAGCTAGGGCACGAGATCTTCTTCTGGCTCGGAGCCCACACGACGCAGGACGAGGCCGGCACTGCGGCGTACAAGACGGTAGAGCTCGATGAGTTTCTGCACGGCGCCGCCACCCAGCATCGTGAGGTGCAGTCGGCGCCCTCGGATGACTTCTTGGAACTCTTCCCCCGGATTCAGATCCGCTCAGGTGGTGTCAGATCAGGATTCCGCCACGTCGAGGAGGATGAGCCTAAGGGAGAAATTCTCACGCTCCTGCGTATCTTCAAGAATCCGTCCGTTGGCGCGAGTGGTGTTGTGGTGCACGAGGTCGAGCCCACGTGGAAGAGCTTGGACGACGAAGACGTCTTTGTGCTGGATACTGGCGAAAAGATCTGGCAGTGGCAGGGCAAGAGCTGCAGCCCGATGGAAAAGGCCAAGGCTGCGCAAGTCGTCAACGACATGACCCTTGCGAAGCACATCGATGTAGAGGTGTTGACGCAGGAGGAGTCGAGATCCCGCGTCATCGTGGGCTTGCTCGGTGGTGACGACGACACCCCCCAGTCCGGATTCAAGTGCGCCCGTCCTGTCAGGTCAGCGTCCAAGGCCCACGCTGGCGAGCGGCCCCAGAAGCTCTTCAGGCTGAGCGACGCATCTGGCGAGCTCAGATTCGACCTGATCAAGGATGGAAGCAAGGCGTCCATGTCAGACTTCGATGGACAGGATGTGTTCCTTTTGGATGATGCCGGACGTACCGTCTGGGTGTGGGAAGGACAGGGCGCGAGCAGGGGCGAGAAGGCAAACTGGTTGAGAGTCGCCCAGGCCTACATTCGCCAGTTGCAGGGGGCAGACGAGGCCAACGAGGCGCACCTCACGCCCGTCGCCAAGGTGGTTGAGGGCAACGAGAGCCGGGCTTTCATGAAGGCTGTTCAGGCGTAAGAGATGGACGAGGATTGCCAAAGTATTAGGAGTATCTTTTCAGGCGAATGGTAAATCTAAAACAGGATCTGTTTGTTCTCGCAGTGTTTGGTATCGTGCCGCGACTCCATACTTCCGATGTGTGTGATGTTTGGCGTGACGTTGACGAGAGACTCGGGTTTGTTGTGGCAAACGTTGCGCAGACTCCTTCCCGCCCGTCGCAGCTGCCACCCGACCTCACAATTCTCATTCGGAAGGCGGTGGGTGATTTTCCGGAAGAGACAGTGCAGGAAAGTGCGGTCTTGCTGGACGGCAATCGACCTGGGTGGGGTCCTGCCTCAGCTGGAGCGCTATCTTCACTGCCACTTCCCATCCAAATATCACGTCTTCACTGATTGCTCTATTGAAATATTGTTCTGCACGATAAACGGCTCGTGGGAATGTATTTGAATCAGGCTTTCAACGGCCGCTTTGAAGATTGATTAGTACCCAAGCATGAAATCTAAGCATGAAATGCAATGAAACGGCAATTCCGTTATCCAGGTCAATCATCCTCTGTACTCGGGAGCTAAGACAAGAACACCAGTGGCGATGGGGGAACAGAGCCGATCAAATGACAGCAAAGGACGACTCAACCGCCAAAAAAAACAAAAATGACGAGGACATCCAGCTCTATGGCTGGTCAGTAGAGATCTTGCTCAATCGTCGATGATTCGTTATGACATCATGAGAGCCGTGGCAGGAATCTTGTTAGGTGGCTCGTTGTCAGAGTCAGTTGAGTTGAAAGAGCCTAATCTCTTCTTTTCTCTCGGGGCTAAGGGATCGGGCAACGGATGCAGCATGATTGATCCCGGGCGCCCCTTAATCATGCTCATGAGACCTGGGGTTTTGGTAAAAGGGCGCTCCTTGGTATACGCCTCCTTTGCTCTACGTGTAGCCTCCCTGTGCAAACGAATGGTGTCAAGATCCATTCGATCGAGATGGTGGGCCAAGATGTCAGTTAGAGAGTACGACAGGCTGTTATCATATGCATCTTCAACAAGACTTTCAAACCCACACTCAGTGAAAACCTCCTTGGTGTATTGTTCGTTTCTTTTTAAAAAGGGCTCCAGTTGGTCCTCCCCGAGCAGTGATGCACCGGCATGGCAGCAGTTGAGGAAAGTCAAGACATCGCTTTTGACTTGGAGAATGGCCTTTGCTACATCCGTCCAATGGAACCACGTCCCACCCGTTTCATGGCTGTAACTTTCAGTTAGTAGAAACTCCCTTTCAACAGGAAGAGATAAGCTACAACGTAGATAACTCTGAGGAGGGTTGCATCGCTCTTACCTGGCCAGGATCAAGTCATTCCCAGATTTTGATGTCAGTCCGCCATGACCATAGAACCAAAGGATCAATAGCGTGTTCATCTTCTCGGCGGCGTTGAGATCATCGACGGAGTCTTCAATCTTGCGGTTCAATGACAGGAGAGCGGATGTTTCCGGGACAAGAAACTCCTCCACTTCGTAATTGTACGATTCGAAGGCCGCCCGCACCCTTTTCATCTCATCCTCAATCAATGATAGGCCAAAATGGTAAAGATCGTGGCGTGCCCATGTGATGAGTAGAACCCGAATTCTGTCATAACGCCTTTGTCCTTTTGTAAATGCTTCAGGACCTGGCGTGTCAAGTGACGCCGAATAAGAGTCACCGCCTTCGCGGAATTCAATCATCGGGGGCTGAAGGGCATCGTCCCCTGTGACATCTGAATTCCAATTGTTGCCTGGTGTGAAGTTGAATGGGTAATGCAATGGCAATGTAATTGGCTTGGTGCCTGAAGATGAGCCGAGATTGCAGGCAGTCGAATCCATCTGATCTAAAGAAAGTTGGCTCTCTGTGGCATTACTCTAGTTAGCTCCTTATTATCCCGATTTCTGAGGATAGTGTGACACATACCTGTGCCTGGAATCGGCCGCTTTAGGCTCAAGGAAACGGCCTTCAAACGGTTGTCTAGGAATGTACAATAATTGTCATCGCCGTGGCAAAGAAGCTGGCCAAGTTCTTCACAGAACAAAATGCTTTCGTCTTCAACTGGAACTGTTCGCTTGGTACAGTCAACGTGTGCGACGGCTCGTTGAGCTAATATTCAAGTCAGAAACCAGTTCATATTGCGTGCATAGAGAGAATACTTGCCGAGAATGTCAATCGAAAGATCAGTATGATTGCTAGGTCCAAGCAGAGCAGCATTCATGCGCCACCATTGAATCGCAACTCGAATTCGCTCCCACGACAACTGTTGAGGGCCGCTTTCAGGGGTGGCGTACCAGACAATTCCTTCGTCTTTCTTTTCCGATACGACAAGGAGACCTTGGGAGACAGGGGGCTTGAACTGTCTCCTGTTTCCAGTTTGCAGCAATCCGAGCGTGTGTTCGCGACTCACCAAGCGCACCTCGCGCACGCAACCGCGCTCTACGAAGGCTACTTCTAGCGGCGGTGTCATTCTCATCATCATCAAAAGTCGTCCTGCGAGTTTAAGCTGCAGTCAGGAAGGATTAAATATTGGTGATGTTTATGGTTTAGTTGAAAATATCTATACAATGGAAAGACTTTGACGTGGCGAGCAGTCAGAGGTTCTCAACAAAGAGGACCAGGGAACCGTCGTCGAAATTCCACTTTCTTGCGGCTGCTCGTGGTATAGAGGCGAAGCTTCTGTCTTCATTCCACCGGGAGTTGATGCGATTAAAAAGCCTGTCAGCTAAGTGTGATAGGTATATAATTGTCTTAATGTGTCCCAGCCTCTCCAGACTTCAGCCAATGGTGGTTATAGCCGCGACGCTTCCCACAACCCGCCAATTCTGAGCATGAGCCAAATCCACTTCTTTGACTACGTGCGCCAAATTGTTGTCAAACTTGAAAATCCATACCATGTCTTGCATCATGAGTAAACTCCAAAACGTTTGTGGGCTTTTTTAAAAGACAGATTCTGCTGTGTTAGTCTACGTGATATTAGCGTTTCAGTGACGTAAAGAAACCCCTTGGGCCCTTGGACTTGTGAAGGTGCCGACTGTTTCAAAAGGTGAGGGCCACTTGGAACAACAACAAAAGAAACTTTATTCTAGAACAGTGGAGAATAACACAATTGGAAAACATCCCAGCCAACTTCAGCCAACTCCAGCCAACCCAAGTTTAGAAGGTCGGGATTCAAAACACAGGCGGCGGCAGAGCTTGCAATCATTACCATAAAGCACAATAGTCTAGGTATGAGCAGCCGTTCAAAATATTAGGTGACCTCCCATATGTGGTAACGGCAAGCATCCCCTCCTTGTACGAACATCTTAAGGTCTCCTATCGTGGCATGTGAAACATTGAAACTGCTAGGCCAAAGAGTGCCAGCATAGAATTTCCCTCCCTAGTGTATCTACACAACGGCCTTCCAAGAGGATCTTGTCTGATATGTGTCACTGGATGTCATTGAATAAGGCTGACGAAGTTTGGAACATTGGCTTCGCTGATCCGGGATCCGGGCAGGCTACGCATGCGTTCAACATGCCGGTGGCGCGGTTATCGTCTTCGTTGGCTGGTGGAAATGATTACTGGCTTAAACCGAAGAAAGGCATCGTTCTTCGTCAACACATCAGAGGGCATACACGTCAACGTCTAATTCAACCAGTAAGATGTTCGTCATGTGACAGAGCAAGAAGTGCGATTAAGGTATAGTAAATCATATCAAATGACAGTGTACCACACCGATTGCAACCAGAACGCCCCAAGCCCCATCAATGCCCTATTCTACCATGTCTATGTCTACTTCGACGCAACCGATCAATTTATTACTCATGTCAATCAGCTCGTTGGGCCGGCCAATGATCCGCATTGACAAGGTGTCTGTCCGCCGAGTATTGCAACGCCGGATGCGTAACGAAGGCCAGCTCCGAGACGCAGACCGGATAAGCAAGATCTCGGCGCGGGGTGGATACACCGCCAGCCTGGGACCCGCCCCTAGGCATTCTGGCCGTTGAAGGGAGCCATGATCTTCGTCAACTCATCCTTGATTCTCTTCTCGTGTTGCTTTCGAAGGACGGTAGTGTTGGTAGATTGTCCGGAGATGTGATACATGTTGCCGTTTTGAGACGACGGCTGGGCATCGAAAGACGCAAATCGTCGCTCTGCAAGCTCTCTCGAAGACTCGGCCGAGGAGTACACGCGGGGCGGTTTGTTGGCGGCGGTGCTGCAGCAACAGAATCAATTTAGTCAACATCGCCCCTGGCATGAAGAAGGAAAATACAAACCCAGATCGTCCGGATACATTGGTAGCGGAAGCCATGATTGAGTGCGTCTTCCAAGAGGTCTGGGGAGAAGGGGCGGGCTGTCAAGTTCGTAGCGGAAAGAAAGTGAAACGGAGAAAGAAAGTCTTCGCAATATTACTTGTATTACTGATACCCGTTCGAATCGAAATTAAGTTGTGTGCTGTCTGTAATTCTAGTGACAACAATCCAGATAGGAGGTTTGCTTTTGGGCTTTATAGACTGCCGTAACGCTGGCGAATCCAGCCGAACCGCTCAGGCGACGTCGCCAGCTCAGTCTCTCCCGCCATGATATGAGCCCTTCGCCGACGCGCTGATGGAATCTGAAACTTTGCCTTGGCGGTAAAGAACTCCTGAATCCCCAAAAGTGCAAGAAATATCGCCGTCGAGGGTGTTCTCTTTTCATTTGGGGTGGTAAGTCGATTGGACGTCTGCGGCTCTGCTGAGTGGCTCGGCGGCAATTAGGGGAAGTCGTCGTTCGAGTGCTCGGGGGCGTGGACGCCTTAAATTTCGTGGCCAGGTAGGCGTCACAGCTAAGAACGGAGGTGGCGAGAACAAACTGGGATTAGGGGTCTTGCAGCAGCAGCAGGATCAGCGTCGGCGAACATTGCCGCTTGCATGACATGAAAGGTCGAAAGGTCGAAAGCTCGACCTAGCACCGGTAGAAGAGGACCTGATGGACGTGGAAAAGTAACCAAGTCAAGCACAAAAAGAGGGGAAATAATACTCAAGGTAAAGCAACGTTGCGCTGCAGACCCGCCAATGCCGGCTTCGGACCGGCACCGGGAAGCGGCCCTGCCGCCGAAGAGTGGATCCGCTTAGACCGCATGGTCGCAAAAGACGTTTGCTACACACTTCCCAAGTTGCCATATTGAAACCCCCGGCTTTTTTTTGCTACACATCCAATTTTGGACTGCGACTGGGAGTCATGAAAGAAATCGCGGCGGGTTGACAATCTGGTCAGCGGCACACTACGCGGCGGGACGAATCGGGCATCTGTGTTGCTGCTCATATTGGCTGGAAATCGGGTATGCTTCGCTCTCCCACAACAAATCGCACACCGCCGGTTCGCATGAGTTGCAGGCTGCGTGCATCGAATGTGACGGCTTGAATGGAGGCGGATTGACTTGATTTCCCAACCGACTCGAACTCTGAGGGTTGGCCTTCGGTCCAGAGCCATCTAAACTAGGTTTCGGAAACATCCAAAGACACAGCTTCGTTGGTTTTCGCGACTCGGGGGCGACATTGAGCGCTCGGCAGACGAAGTTGACCTTGGCCAATCGATAAAAAGGCAACGAGATGATTGAAACGAGGAGGTGTGTGTGTGTGTTTGTGTGTCGGAACATGGCGCGCCTTCCACCTTCGAGGCAGCCAACGGCGGGCTCAGTCAGTTGGTCTCAGTCGCCCGCGTCTCGCTAAAAAGGCAAGTCAGCATGGATTAGGTAATGTGCAGCAAGCCAAAGCGATTTGGCGCCAATTGGCGCCAGGCGGAATGATGCTGCACTCACTGAGTATCCATACTTGCCTTATTTATAAAGGTACGATAACATGGTTCATCTCATGGAAGAAGTAAGAAGAAGAGGAAACAAGTAGCAGAGAGCACGCCATCCAAGCGACAGACCGTTTGGTTCAAGAAAGCATGCCGTGGACTGTTCTCTTGTTGAAGAGGTTGGCGTAACTGTAGAGAACTCCTATCTTCATATGAGCGTTTCCAAGGGCGGTAAGTTTCATACGAAGCTAGAAACTAGAAAGGAGAAAACAAAACATGCCTTCTTGGTTGGATCATTGAAGAACGGTACTAAGTTACTCACGTTGTCAGGTTTCGAGGTGATTGCTGGAGAAGCCGTCAAAGACGGACACAGCATGTTCCGGTCAAGAGCGGGATTTCGGAAAGGGTTGGCAGAGGGGAATGGGGAATACAGCTGTTTTTAATTCTTCTCCTTTCTTTTGAGCGGCAGGAAAATATCTTAGCCCGATCAATGTGATGCCCAAGGGGGTTTAAAACCAGCGCTTGCTGAAGCCAATCAAAAGGCGCTTGATTCGTTTGCGCATGATAACTGGGTGACTCAAGGCCTTGACTGGTCTCCCACGACCAATCAATTAGCGGCATATCCGGTTCTAATATCGCGGCACCGCGCACGCGGCGTGACACCAATGGCGCGAAATATTTTGACATTCTTGGAAAATGGAGCCTGGGAGGATTGTTGCCTGACCGTGAGGAATGAAACATACTGCTAGCAGGCTCGTAACTTTTCGTTGGTTACAATACACTTTTTGCTCTCGACAGTCACCTACTCAAGATCCTACGCTAAGCCTCATCCATGGATGCCAATGTGTCAGGGCAAAATGGTTCATGTAGAAAGGGGTCGTATTGCGTCACTAGACTCTAGCATCCGGTGGGAAAGTTGCTTGGTCTGGTAAATCTTGGCCACATAGCGAAACACCCTCGAATTGCCGTGGTTGACTGAGGACTATTGCTTTTCAGACACCACTATGGACATCAGGTGAGAAACCCAAACATCAGTGTATCAATTTTCCGAGTGGTAATGCCAATGAAGTTTCATGCAGCCTGAAGATATGACACAAGTTCGCAGCCTAGGCTGATCTAACATGTCATTTGTGCACAAAATTTGCACCTCCTTCCGTTCAACAACCCTACACCGAACCAAGCCTATCGCTGTCAGCTAATCATGAGAGCATTGAGGTCTCTCAGCCTGAGAGTGAAAGCAACCGAAAAAGGAAAACGGGGAACAAGTAAAAGAACATTTCGGCCACTATTGCATACCCAACCTGGATCACCTATTTGACGTGGTCTTTTGATCTTTTTCTTAGTAGCAAGTGACTCAAGAATACGTCATGACAAGCTGGTTTCAATGAAACCACTGGCGCATGCTTATCGTCTCAGCACTGTATACCTGCAATCCATAACCCCATTTTAGAGTGTTGGGAGAGAGGCCGATCGGCGATTGCAAGGCAGCTCGCACTCATGCAAGGTCAAAAGGATGTGAGAGGGAAAACTATACATGATGGACCTTAACAAGTGCTAGTACTTAGTGGAATGATTCAATATATATAATGTTGTCTCTCCCTTCTTTCATAAATCATTGTACCCTAGGTTACTTGTCGCATTCCACAAGTGGCGCACGCAGCACTATCCTCCCAAGCCGTCCTTCACGGAGGAACACGTCAGGCCCCAGAATGGTTGTGTCTTTATCGTCACGGGCGGTAACGCGGGCGTCGGCTACAAGCTGGTGAAGCTCCTTTATACCACAGGTGCCACTGTGTGCATGATATAGCGCTCCAAGGCAAGTGTCGAGAACGTCCGCCGCGCCCGGGGCTTCATGGGACTCATTGCAGTCCTTTGAAAGCTGTGGATGACTTGGGCACCACGTCCGCCGTGACTAATAGCCCTGGGCGACCAGGTGGCTAGGCAAAGACCTGTAATAGCGGCCGGTGTAAGGGGCATTCGGATCGCCCAGCTCATCGTACAGCTCGGTTCCGACAGCAATGTGCCAGACCTTGGCGTGCTCGCGCCCGACCTCGTCCGGGTTCTCGGGCTCGGGAAAGCCACGCACGAGCTTGACGCAAGGGGAAGCCAGGGCGAGCTCGTCGATCATGAGGAAGAACTCGTACCTGGCGCCGCGGGGCACGTAGACCATTTCCTGCGGGTCGCTCTGGCTGGGCTTGAAGGGGAGCATGCCCTCGGACTCGACCCAGGTGCGGAAACGGTGCTGCAGGTCGGCGATGGAGACGTTGTCCAGGGAGGGGTCGTCGACGAAGATGAAGTCCATGTTTTGGAGGATCTCCGGGGCGGGGGAGTCGGCGATGCGTTTGCGGAGGTTGGAGAGGACGAGGGCCTTGAACTGGTCCCATTTCGAGGTTGACTCGGGGGAGTAGGTTGTGCGGTAGATGACGAAGCCCCATTTCAGATAGCCGCAGTCGCGGATGTTGGTTTCGGGTGTTGGTTCGGGGAATTCGTCGTCGTCCGCTTTGAATATGTCGGATCCCGAGTCTGAGGGTGGTGGGGAGGACATGACGTGAGGGTGATGGTGACGGTGGTTATGATGAAGAAATGTAAGGGAAATTTTAGCAGGTGACGAAGCGATGACTTGGGGTCGGAAAATGGTGATGTTGCTTGTTCGGAAATGCTGATTGATAATGATGCGAGGGATGCGCTTGATCAATCCTACCTGAGGTAGTGAGCGCATGCTGGCTTTGGAGGATGCATGAGAGTATTTAACTCAGCGGACTTTGTGCTGGAACACTTACATGGCACCTACAGGCTACATGTAGTCTGTTTATCAAATGCAGCAGGGTGACACTGGCGGGCCGCCAAGGGCAGCTAACGGGCAGGGGGGAAACGACATATGACATTAGGTAGGTAATAAATACATGTAGGCCACATTACATGATATGGTATGGTGACATTCGGCTCTCTCTGGAGCTCAGCCCCAATCAATATCATTAGAACCTGCAGTGTCGCAGATGATGCTATATACAATGTACCTACCAACCTGCCTAAGGTAGGTAGGTCAGGCAAGTTGGCAAGAAAAGTGAGTGGCAGGAGAGCAGGCGCGCGATTGGGGTTAAGGTTATGTATCTACCAGTACCTGGACACCTGGCAGCACTTGGCAGAGTAAGCCACCTTTAGTCATCATCATCACTACCAGAAAGAAACAAACCTCCTTCCAAACGCGATGATTATTACTTCTCTCCAACGCATCAATCCGTTCATCCATCCATCAATCAATCAATCAATTAGTATCTTTCTATACAGTTACTTCTCTACCAGCCTGACAAAAACAACAGATAGACGTCTGATACCATCACATCCCCCTCTAAACGACACGTCAGTCTACTCCGGACCACTCTCGCAGCCAGAATGCTCATTCCGCCGGGTGCGTCCAGTTGGGAATGTCGTTCTCAATCTCCTGCAAATCCGCCAAAACCTCAGCCCTGTGCTGCGCGTTCAGGTTGTTGCGACTGTTGTACACCCGCCTGACCTGCCGGATGCGCGCCCGCGCCCATGTACGCGCAAACTCAGTCACCATACGAAAGTACGACGGGTAGAACTCGTTCCACTGCGCCGACAGACCCCGCGCGTCCGGCAGGTTGAGCTCGAGCTGTTGCAGCTGCGCCAGGAACAGCGCTGCCCCGTTGTCGATGCTCGTCACCACGTCGTCGTCTCGCAGGTACCCGAACAGGGCCACCAGCTCGCGCAGCGGCGCCATGAACGACATGATGTCCGTCAGCGGCGAGTCGTTGCTACGGTCCACCGCGTCCCGGAGGAACCTCCCAAACAGGTTCGACCCCATCGGCGCGTTGAAGATCTCCACACGGCCCTTGACGCCGTTGATGTTGTCCTGCAGGAACGTGAACTCGGTCGGGTGCGTCGTCGACCCGAGCGCCTCGTACAGCCGCCCCACCGGCCGCCGGATATCGGGCGAGTCGGACGTCACCCGGGGCAGATTCGCCGGCAGCCCCGCCGGGTCGCCCCAGATGTTCTGCCAGAAGTTCTGGTTGCCTACCCGCCGCGCCGTCGTAAGCCTCCCCTGCGGATGAGCCTGTCCCACCGTTGTGCCGTCTTCGCGTACGTATCCCGCCGGCCGAGCCGCCCACATCCGACCGTGCTCCGCCACTGAAGCGAATCGCCCTACAATGACCAGCGGAATCGTGTGCTCTACCTGCCCTCGGTCGGGAGGAGGCGCGTCGTTGTCCAGGTCAATGTCGAGCGCCTCGATTCCCGGGTCGCCGCAATGGTCCGACTGCGTCGCCCACCGACGGAGCACCCTCACCAAACCCTCCCGGAGCCTGCGCATGAGCTGTGATGGCGGGGGGTACGCGAGCGACTCTTGGAGAATGACGATGCCGAAGGACGCCAGCCACTTGTAATCGCGCTTGTTGAGGATCTGGAACTCGCCGTCATCTTGCCGAATCACGAGCGATACCCCGGGGCCCTTCTGAGCATTAGCCGCCTCGGCCAGAGCTACACCCGTCTCGCTGTCCTCATCGCGCGGCTCAATGTGGTTGCCCCAGTCGTCGCGGTTGGTCTGTGAGCAGAAGTTGTAGTCGAGCATGCACGAGTCGACTGTGCAGGTCAGCGGCTTGGGCACCTCCACCCGGACCTTGCAGCAGAGCGCCTTCTCCCGGTCCCAGCTGCAGGCGTTGTACGAGTCACCGCTGGCGTGGCTGTCGATCTGCACCTCGTACAGGGGCTTATTGTCCTTGTCCAGGGCCTTGCAGTTGCCGTCAACGCAGTCGGGCGAGGTGCCGCGCCACCCGCACTCGTACAGTCCCGTGTCCCGGGGGCAGCAGTAACTCTGCACGACGCTGAAGGGGCATGCTCCCGTCTTGGTCGCCACCTTCGTGTGCGTCGAGGAGCACTCATTGCTCTGGATGCTACAAACCGGATCAGCCCTACTCAGTCGTGAAGCCATCACAGAGGCGGGGGGAACTCACCATCCCGTCCAATAGCAGTCCTTGACAATGCTCTTGAAGTTGGGGGCTTCGCAGCAGAGCACCTTGGACCCCCGCGCGCAGTTCTTGCGTGGCCATTTGGTGTCGGCCGAGGGAGTGCCTCCCCATTTGGAAGACACAACGGCCGTCTCACCAGTGTGGCACTGCCCGTTGCAGTCACCCCAGACGCCACCGTCGTCGGGCGTGCCTCGCCAGGTACACGAGCTTGTCGAGTCCCGGGGACAGCAGACCGGCATGCCCTTGCTGCTGTCTTCGGAGCCCTATAACACACACAAGAGTCAACACGTCTGCCTCTCTAGTGGCATCTCTGTCAACAGCGTCACTTACGCATCCTTGCCTGTCGATGGCAACCAGGCTCTCGCCATTGGGGCAGGCAAAGTGTCCATCCTCTCTACAGCCCTCAGATTTGTGCACGTAGCAGCCTTGTCCGTTCTCCAGCTTGATGGTCTCGATCAAGTTAGAGCTGGTCATCTCCAGAGCCTCGACTTTATTGGTGTTGATGTGCGCCACCTGGTGGCCCATCAGCCCGCTCATGGCCGTGAACTTATCGTCGTCCGTGTCGACGGCCCAGATCATCGAACCGCCGAAACCCATCTCGTTGGCCCACTTGAGCTTGAGCTTGAATGTGTCGGCATCATCGTACGAAATCCACTGGTTCTTGTCCCAGGTGATGTACTTGACCGCCGCCTCCTTGTCGAACACGGGCTCGAGGTCCGGGAACTTCTTCAGGATTGCCTGGATCTCGTAGTACATGAGGATGCCGGCCTCATTGGAGCAAGGGCCCTTCTTGGCCCCGCCGGCGAATGGGCATCCGGGCTTGGTACAGCTGGAATCCGCAAGCTCAAAGGCGCGCCCATAGAAGCCATAGCCCAGGACCACCTGCTCAGGCTTCACGCCCACACGCCAGAGGAGCTGCGTGGCGAGCTTGATTTCCGTCAGATTAGTATGGGCCTGCGCGATGGCCCCGATAGGGTTGTCCCGGTCCCAGGTGCCGTGGAGGTCGTAGCTCATCAGGTTGGTCCAGTCGGCGTACTGCAACAGCCCGGGCATGTCGAACCAGCGCAGGTACCAGAAGGACGAGGGGATGGTGAAGGTCAGGCCCAGCTTGCGGGACGACCGATCAAAAGTGTTGCGCAGCGTCTTCATCAGCAAGACGAAGTTGGGGGTATCCTCATCCCTGCCACCGCGGTCTCCAGCGCCGGGGTACTCCCAGTCGATGTCGAGGCCGTCGAAGCCGTACTTATCGAGGAACCTGACCACGCCGTCGGCGAACTTTTGCCGGTTCGCCTGGGTGCTGGCAATCTCGCCGAACAGCGGCTGAGTGACGGTGCCGTTGTCGGAGAAGGTCCAGCCGCCGACAGCGACGTACACCTTGAGGTTAGGGTTGTACTTTTTACTGTCTACGGTAACCTGCCACAGGTCGTCCTCGTGCTTCATGTCCATGGTGACCATCTCGTAGGTCCCAGGCTCGATGAAGGTGAAGGCATAGTTGAGGTGGGTAAGCTCCTTAAGGGGTAGATCCGAGGGCGACTTCTGGTTACACTTTGACTTGTAGCTCCAGGACTCGTAGTAGCCTATCACGCGTTCCATGGCGGCGTCCTTGGGTGAGCCGCCCGGGGGCTGAGGCTCTAGGATGCAGTTAGACTGGCACCCCTCGGTGCAGAACTCGGAGGTGGTGCCGCAGAAGCCGTGCTCGCTGCAGCAGGCGTTGAGCTTGCAGGTTTGCCCCGGGTTCACGGCGTACTGGCCGCACTCGGCCTTGGCGTCGCAGTTGGACTGGCAGCCCGCGCCGCAGTAGGCCGGGGCATAGCCGCAGTTGCCCGAGGCGCCGCAACAGGCGCCGTTGGAGCAGGGGCGGCCCGGGCCGCAGGTGTAGGGATCGTCGTCGAGGCGCACAGCGAGGCCGAAGGGGGCCTCCGCGTCCGAGACGGACAAGTTGCCAGACGGAGCAGGGAAAGCGGAAGAGGTGGTGGTCTCGATGACGGGCTGAGCAGTTGAGTTCTCTGCCCTGGGACTCAGGTGAGCTAACTCGACAGGAGCGCTCTCGTGTCTGCTTCCGATATAAAAGGCAAGAAAGAAGAGAGGAACGAGCGAAGAGAGGGTAAAGAGAGTGGAGCGGCGGTCCCTAATGGATGATGCCATGGTTGCCGGGATGGATCGTGTCCCGCGATGAGTGAGAAGTGAACGAACGTCGACCTCAGGAAAGAGTGTCAAAAGGTGAGCCGTCTGGGCGAGCCTGGTTTCAACGGGCATCGGCCGCCCTGGGGATGGGTGCTCTTAAGCTCAACCATCACGAAAGAGCCATGATGTCGGCCGACGGTATCGTGGCTTGCTCGTCCCGAACCACGAACTCCCAGCATTTCAGGGTCCTTCCCTTTTCAGCTCACGCAGGGGATCATCCGACGTTCTCTCTGGCTCGGACTCGAATACTACCCTGGTCTGACGGAGTCTTACTTGACACCAGCTCGCCCGTCATTTGAGCGATATACGGATGTCTCGTGAGATTATCGCGCGCCCTCATTTAGGGCTCATGCCTTTCCGAGAGAGGAAGCTCGATGAAGGCTACCAGGAAGGATCATCATAGGGTGTCGGCCCTCATAAATTGCACAGTTGCATGTGAGCTGCTGACGGGCGAATCCCGTGATGCTGTTCCTGGGCCACACAGCCTTGGCTGCATCAAGCGTTGCATCAAGCGTCAGCCTTGGCTGCATTTAGGCATCAGCCTCGTCGGGAACATCATGGCGATTTTAGTTAAGAGTGCTAATAGAGTTAAAGTTAGACTCAATAGGGTCAGCCCGAGGGCTGCGGGATGCAGGGGCAAGGCAAGACAGAGGTCCATCCCGGATGTGACCATGACGGCCCGGTCAGCGTTGCTTGTCAGCGTTGCACCGAGTTACAACCCATGAAAGCTTGCCAAGATAAGCTATTGATATCGGTTATGATCACGTTCAAGCCTAGATCAATCCCTTTCGAGGCCTCGTGATAATGAGATTGGGGGGCATACTATGGGATGAGGGAACGGTCGGCAGGTGATGAAGGGATGTGGGCGGACATGTCATGTTCCGGGCTGGACTGGAATGGGCTTGTGATGGCAGTAGGCATCATGGTTCGTTTCCTGAGCCATCTCACTTCCCTCTTTATGGCGGCATCGCCCGATTCCAGATATTTCTCGTCGAGAACCCTCGCACCTTCGGGGTCTCATGCTCGTTATACAGCCCATCTCTACGCTCTTTTGACTCTTTGCTGTCTCCGTCGCTCGTTTTCCCCTTTCTCCACGATGGACCTGTCTCTTCGCTCGTGGGCTCTGCCCCTTGCGATTCACTTGCTTGCTCTCATGGGCTTCGTCGACGCCCAACAGTTCACCGACGTGAAGCTGGGCTACGCCCACTACCCAGGGCTCAGCGAGAGCTGCTACCAAGCTCTCAACACGACGGTCCAGACCTGTCCCGGCTTCCTGGCCACCCATGCAGCCGCCGTCCCCCGCCTCGAGTCTCAGATGCTGGAGGCCCTCTGCACAGCGGGCTGCCAGTCGTCCCTGGCTGCCGCCCGCCGGACCATCGCCTCGGGCTGTGGTGCCGAGACCGATGTTGTCGAGTTTGACCGGGTCGTGTATCCCGCGACCTACATGATCGACCGCATGATCCACGCCTATGATCTATCTTGCGCCCAGGATGGCAACACGGGCGTGTACTGCGACGAGGTGTACCTCGATAACCTGGCCAACGGCACCGCCGCCGGTCCTTGCTCCGGCTGCTCCCTCGGCACCGCCAAGGTCCTCCTCAACTCGCCCTTTGGCTTCGATGCAGAGTTCGCAGCCGACTTCAAGTCCCGCACGGCCAGCTGCGGCGCCGCCGGCTATGACTTTACCACGCCTGCCGCGTACGCCGTCACCACCAAGCCCGCGCCGACGTCCACGGACGGCCCGGCGTGCGCCTCGCCTTACACCGTCCAGCCGGGCGACACGTGCGACTCCATCGCCACGGCGCGCAAGGTGTCGACCAACGCAGTCATCAGGGCCGGCGTCACCGGTCCCGGGTGCAGGAACCTCGTCCCGGGCACCCAGCTCTGCCTCCCCGAGGCGTGCGCCCATTACCGCGTCAAGTGGGACGACAGCTGCGAGGACATCCTCGAGGCCGTTCCCGGTCTCCAGGCCCAGCACCTCCTGACCTGGAACCCCAACATCAGCCCCCTCTGCACCAACCTCGATGACATGGTCGGGCACCTGATCTGCGTCAGTCCCCCGGGGAGGACCCTGGCCGACGCCACCGCCGTCCCCTCTGGCCCGCCAACCACGACGCAGCCGCCTGCCACGCCGGTCCCGAGGCCCTCCAACGCCAAGGCCGAGTCCAACGAGCGGTGCGCGGCGTGGTACGAGATCCGCACGGGCGACTACTGCCAGATGATCTCGATCAAGAACTCGGTCGAGCTCCGCGACTTCTTCTTCCTCAACCCGTCGGTCGACGACCCCGGCTGCGGGAACCTGTGGCTCAACACATCCTACTGCGTCCAGCCCGTCGGCGACATCAACACCTACCCCTCCTACCCCTATTCCACCTCCCCGCCCTACACACTCACGCCGCCCGACTACGTCACCACCACGCAGCCGGCCATCGAGACCGTAGCCCCCAGCGAGACGCCTGTCGTCGAGCACCCTCTCGCCTCCGGCTCTCGCGACGAGGCGGGCGGGTGCCGCGAATTCGTCGAGCACGTCGAGGTCCCCTTGCAGAAGGACCAGAGCCAGCAGCCCGACGTGCCGCAGCTGACCAAGAACATCAACGCCTGCGACTACGTTGTCGCGGCGCAGAGGATCACGATGGAGGATTTCATCGAGTGGAACCCGAGCCTGAGGAACGTGGATCCGTGTGTTTTGCAGCCCAACCTCCGATACTGCGGAGCGTATGGCAACGCGACTGGTGAGATTACTCCTGAGAGCACGAATCTCCCCCTTTTTGTGAAACGTATGCTAACACAAGAAACACGGCAGCCCCTGACACTTCGGACGGCGGGTGCCTCGACGTCGAGACCCCGGAGCCCGGCACCGTCGAGGACTGCGCCTGCTTCACCAAGATCAGCGGCTTCAACGCCGGCAAGTTCCTGTGCGCGGACATTGCCGAGGACAGGAACATCACCGTGAGCGACCTGGTCCGGTGGAACTCGTGGATCGGCGAGGAATCCGACTGCGACGCGGGCCTCTACGCCGACCTCGCCGAAGACGCGGAGCGCGGCGTCTGCGTCAGGCACACGGCCGGCTCGGGCACGCCGCCGCCCACCGAGCCCGTCGAGCCCCCCGGCCCGACGCAGCCCGGGATCGTCGAGGGGTGCCGGAAGTACTACGTCGCCGCGTCCGGGGACGGGTGCTGGGCCATCGCCGACGCCAACGGCATCGACCTCGCCGACTTTTACGAGTGGAACCCCGCCCTCAACGGGGACTGCTCGGGCTTGTGGCCGACGTACGCCTACTGTGTTCAGGGTCCCGCTCCTCCCAGCGGCGGCGGGGCGGAGCCGGTCGAGCCGCCTGGGCCCACGCAGGAGGGGATCACGCCCAGCTGCAAGAAGTACCACCTTGTCCAGTCCGGGGAGGGGTGCTGGGGCATTCAGCAGGAGTACGGGATTCCCGACTATGCGACTTTTGTCGAGTGGAACCCGGCGCTTGGGTCTGATTGCCAGAACTTGTGGCCTGATTATGCCGTCTGCGTTGGTGTTTAGGCGTCCTCGTCTGCTCCAAAGGCACGTCTGGCATTGGATTGCTAAACATCGGGGGGAGCTCGGTGTTTGTGGGAGGAATGCTATGTTGACCTTAATTACACCTCATCCTATCACGCTCGTGAGTCATCTCGGGAAATGATAGATGCTGTGTCCAGTACCCAACGAATCTAAACATTGCTGCGTATAAGATGATTTCCAAATATGTGCTGTCATTTCTGGAGGTGGGCCGCCGGGACGGTCCGTTTGTTTTGTCCGAATCTAGGAATATCCTCCATGAACCTCGGCATTGCTGAGAGCTTTCCCATCACTCTTGTCCCTCATGAGCTCCGTTAATGCAGTTACCAGCGCGTCAGTTGTTTCCGATGTACTCTGGTGATGAAGCACAACCCTTCCGTTCGGGAAGACTGCCAGTCGACGTTTGGCGCAGTAGTCCACAAACGCAGCAGCCGGGATATCAACGGCGGCCAGATCAAGAACGATCATGTTTGTTTGGACTGGGAGCGCGAACTTGTATCCCAATTCTTCGATCTTGGCCGCAGTCTCCTTAGTCAATGCATGAACCTTGCTCATGCGTGGAAGGGTGTAGTTCAATGCTTCTAGCGCGGCCGCAGCCATCATTCCTGGTTGCCTCGTGCCACCTCCAAACATCTTGCGGAACCATTTGGCACGCTCAATGAAATGCTTGCTTCCGAGGATAACGCTTCCCATGGGTGCACCGATGCCCTTTGCCAGGCAGATGGACAAGCTATCGAAGCAAGCTGCATATGCCTTGAGATCAACACCCTCACCGATGACACCATCAAACAAACGAGCGGCGTCGAGATGCATTGCCACTGGCTTCTGTCCTTCTGGTACGGGAAAGGATCGCACGTATTGAGAGATGGCCTGGGCGTCTTTGAGGGGAAGAATTGTACCGCTGAGGGTGTTTTCCAGAGACACCACACGCGTTGGAGGAAAATGGACTGAGTACAACGACTGTTACACATACTAGTTCTGTTTCTGGGGACCCGAATGCAACTCACTGTTTTCATCCGCAATCATGTTCGCTTTGACATCGTCGAGAGTCAGGTGAACTCCATTCTTGGGATGAACCGTGGTGGCAGACGCCTGAGACATGACTGGCAGGGCGCCGGACTCCCAGCAATGGACGTGGGCACGGTAGTCCAGAAGAACGGTATGAGGCGGCTGGGTTAGATGGGTGCGGAGGCAGATCTGGTTGCCTTGAGTCCCAGAGATTGCCCAGAGAGCGGCTTCCTTGCCAGTCAAATCCACCAGTCTAGCCTCAAGAGCCTTGACGGATGGATCGCCGTCAACGTCGTAGATGTCATCGTTCACCGAAGCCTCGAGGATAGCCTTTGACGTACTCTAGGTCAGTGGAACAACTCCATAAAATTCTACGTAGGCGCCAGAGATACGAAAGATCTGCTATACCTGCATCATGTCTGGCGTTGGAACCGTGACGACATCAGAGCGGAAGTCTCTTGATGCTTTATCAGCTGCCGCCTCCCACTTAGCCATTAGAGCAGGGGAGAACGCCATGAGCTCATCATTCTTGGTGGAAGACATGTTTGCTGGGTGATACAGGAGTCAGGAGCTTAGTGTTGATTGCATAAAAAAGTATTGTGGTTTAAGGCGCCTCTGTGCTGATCGATGGCCGGGTAGTCTTAGACAACTCTGAGTATCTGGAGAAATGCAGCCGAGCCTTTTCCTTAAATCTGACAGCATTAAGTTCAGTACTGAGGCATTTGATGGTATACCGAACGCCGAGGTTGTTGCTCCGAGTGCAGCATCGAAGCTGCTCAGAATTTCTCGAGTTTGGTATCTGGTGCTGCTCGGGTTCCCCACGGGGATTACGCATTGCGACGAACATCTCCACCTACCCCGCGTTTCTCATGCATACAATTGCGAATCTACCAGTAACAGCGGGTTCCATTGAGAGAAGTTGCCCGAGGCAAACTACAGTTTCCCTAGGAGCCGGTCGGAGACTTCAACGTGCGTAGCTGATTGGCTTTGATTTACATACAGCCGTAGACAGACAGACAACATGAGGCCACGGAAGTAACGGGTCGCCGAAGCAGCGGAGAGACACTAGGTTTCCGGATTTGCGGCCCCACGGCGGCGCCCGTGGACGGCGAAAGTTGTGGGCCCATCACTCCGATATTCACAATCATGTGGATTGCCTCATACCAAATCATCGCAGGTAATGGTCTGATTGAATTCGGCAGTAGTTCTGACTTCTTCATGGTGCAAATTCGAAAAAGACCGCATCAATGACTAGGACAAACGGGCTGTGATTCTAGAGCATTGCCATGAGACAGGCTTCGTCATATTAGGCACTGATGAGAACGAGTACGCGAAGAAGTGTCGTGCTGTGAGAGAGTGCGGCAGTATGCGGTCTATTAGGGAAATCTTTACGTCGCACGAAACAGACTTTAGGCTCAAGAAGCTCGACAACGACCCTTAAACGGACTTGGGAGGTTTCAAGTGCCTGCGGAACAGTCTTGGAGGGAACCACTAATGTAAAGCAGTTGGAGACTCCAGAAACCTGGGGCAACACAGTGGGCAAACGGTGTAAATGCCATCCGCCGGCGCAGAGTTGGATGACCAGGGAGGTGCACTGATGCATCATCGGTCGCTCCCGCTTCGTCCCGAAGATCGGAGATTCGGGTCCTCCCTTTGTCCTTATTATCACGACATCCCATAATTCCACTGTGGGGACATTTAGTTCAGGAGACGATGACACGCCCTGGTTTTTTTTTTTTTTTTTTCTTTCAAGCTGGCGATACGAGCTGTTACATGCCAAGCACTGCGGCCGGTGGGTATCGCGGGATGCAAGGTCCTGATGCCGTGACACCGCGATGCCGGCGGCGCGGAACTTGCCAAGATCCGAAGACTGCGATCTGTGTGCGGCATTGAACACGGATGAGACCGCCCTAGACCAGTGACAAGGGCCACAGAAAATCTATATCTGCAATTTCTGCTAGTCTTGTTGATATTCCATCATCGCTAGTTATTTCATGCTTCATCGTACAACACAAACGCCATGGGTATCAAAATCATCATCGTAGGCGGCAGCGTCGCCGGCCTTTCTCTTGCAAATATGCTTGAGAAGTTCGACATTGACTACACGATTCTCGAAGCGTATTCGCAGATTGCTCCCCAAGTCGGAGCCAGTATCGGCTTGCTTCCCAACGGCCTGCGCATTCTGGACCAATTGGGCTGCTACGAGCGACTCCGAGAGGCTGCTGGAAACTACTACCACAGAGTGGTCTTTCGCGATGCTAAGGGGAAGCCCATTTCCTCAAACCCCGGCCCAACCATCTCTGAGAGGATGGAGAAACAGTTGGTCAATTCCTTTCAGTCGTCGATGCTTAAGATACTGACAGACGAAGTGCCGGATACGCATCCTTGTGGGTGGACAGACAAATGCTGCTGCAGATTCTGTATGACAACTTGAAGCAGAAGGACAAAGTCCTCACCAATAAGCGCGTCGTTCATGTGGAAACCAGCTCTACTGGAGTTGTGGTGAAAACGGAAGATGGATCGACATATGCTGGCGACATCTTGGTCGGCGGCGACGGAGTTCACAGCAAGGTACGGCAAGAGATGTGGCGGATAGCGAGTGTCTCTGATCCAACCGCTTTTCCGCCTGAAGAGAGATCGAGTAAGTGCAGAAAGACTTTCACAACATTGCCACTAATCCAGGTCTTGCGAAGAGAGACATACTAACAAGTCCGCGCAGTCGTACAATCGAGCATGAAATGCATCTTCGGCATTTCTAAACAACCGACGAATTTCCCAACCGGTGCCACTCAACAGTCCTCCTTCTTCCGTGGGCACCTGTACCTGGTCATATCGGCACCAGGCGGCCGAGTATATTGGTTTCTGTTCCATGAATTAGATGGGACCAAGCATGGGAAAGACATCCCAAAGTTTTCTAAAGACGACGAGCTGCTCCTCGCGACTCAATATCGAGACGATCACATCACGGAAGACATGACGTTCGGGGACCTCTACGACAACCGCATCAAGTCTACATTGGTCCCATTAGAAGAGCACGTCTTCAGGAGGTGGCATTTTCAGCGAATTTTGATCATCGGAGATGCGGCAACCAAGGTACTGACTGCAATGACCCATACGCCTTGAGCATATGTACTTTGTCGTGGAAACACGCGCTGACAATATCTTCCAGGTCCATCCGATTGCTGCCCAAGGAGGAAATGGTGCGATTGAGGCGGCAGCGAATCTCGTCAACGCCCTCACACGGAGCGAGTTCCCATCCTCTCCAGATCTGAAACTCGAGTTCATCGAGAAGGCACTTGGTGAAGTGTGCGCTATTCGATACGAACGAGCCTCGAGCATGATGAAGAAGGGTCGTCGCGATGGCTCCTTTCTTTGCCAGCAGCCGCCATTTTCAGGTTTTCTTATTCATTACGTTTTGCCCTGGCTCGGAGATGACCTATTTTTCAAGGAGGTCCTTAAGCAGTCTCTCGCTGGCCCACGCATTGAGAAGCTCCCTGCCCCGGAAAGACCCCATGCAACACCGTACAATGACGAGCTGCCTCAGACCTCTGCTGGATCTTCTTGGTTTGGTTGGACTACGGGGACGCTCACAGTGGTGACTCTCGGTGTGGCTCTGGCCCTCGCCCAAAATGCTGGACGGTTGGCATGGGTGGCCAAGAGCCGCTGAACACGATTGAGGATGTCTTTACTGGATCGATTTGTCTTTAAAAGTCTGGAATGTTTTGCTCAGCTTTATCTATCCTTTATTTTTGGCTACGTACTGTTACATCTCTACTGCTCTATTCTAGCAGCCAGTTTGTGAGCTACGTATGTTGGCAGTGGCCCAACAAATGCATAGATTACCACAGCTTGTAGGCCTTTTGAAAACAAAGAGCGTCTGCGGCCCAAAACATAAGTATCTAAAGAAGAACGCCAGACGCCTCCCCTGTCACGTTTACCAACACCTAACTCTTTCCCTCTTCCTTTCGGAGTTTTTCAACAACTTGCTACTAGCGACGCGGCATTCTCCCCCCGAAGACATTGAGGCAGTCCTCAAGACGAAACACTCGTATTCTTCCTCTGCCGCTCGATCTTTCGTTCCTCTTCTTCCTTCCACCACTTGAGCCTTTCCTCCTTTTCCTTCTCCTCATTAAAAAGAATGCCCACAAACTCAAAGATCTCCGGAGCTGATTCTGGTATAGAAACCTGACAACCCTTGAACACCAGATCGCGGCTGACGCGAATGATGAGGTGATCATCACTGACGAACTTGAATATAATATCATCTCTCTCATCCAAGGTCTGTAGGACATGATTTCGTCGGCTAGGGCGAGTGGGTGAGGGAAAAGGCTGGAAAGCGATATCTGTTGCCCAATCCAGGTACATGTGACCTACGACAAGGCGTCTGTCGCTCTCTGATGTGCTCCGCCGCCTTTTCCCGCTAACGCTAGCTAGAGATAAGAATTCAACGTATTTTGATGGCCAGAGTCTCGACCAACGATGTTGGACATAGTCGGACGAGTAGAGTCGGAAAGTCTTCGAAGCAAGGAATCCCATGGAGAGCGTCTCGCTTTCCCTCTCGGCCTTTTTGAGAGATTTGTATGCGGCTCGAACCTCTTGTACTTTGTCGCTTTCATAGTCTCTTAGGCTCTCTCTTTCTTTGGCGATCACCCGTAGCTCTCGTTTTCGCTCCTCCCGAAGGTCTCTGAGTTCGTAGTAGTCATCCGCGTCAGAGCCGTCATATGACCTTTCTGATGAATTGTCATCGGAACCAATGATATCTTGCTTGCCATCAACGTCAACGTGATGCTCGCAGTCCTTGCCCGCGCAGCCGCAATCACGCTTGGCCGCCGGCACTCCTTCAACGGTAGATTCGCCCTTGTCGCTTTCTAGGTCGGAAATATCTTCGTCGAAGAATTCAGAGCAGACACCCACACCGCAAGTATCGCTCAGGTGGCTGACTCGGTAATACCAAGACGGCAGCGGCAGCTTTTTTGTTTGGTGTGAGCGGCCCATGGCGACTATTGATTTCGGGTGCGGTTTGCTTTGACGAAATACTTTACGCGAGACAGGAAGTTGGGTATTTCATCCCAGTAAACATTTTTGATAATGCGTCGCGTTAGTGGAATGTTAAAGGCCGCCCTCGTTCTCAGGCATGGTTTCCCCATATTGCAGGTATGCGCTAATCCTGCACTTAACAGGACGCGCTACGCGTCGGCCCATGGCGGGTCGCCGCATTCCCAGCAGCACGTCTTTAGTGAACGTACGTTTAGCATTTTAAGAAACCCAATCAATTGCAGTTTAATCGAGACAGTGAATTGAACGGGCTGGAGTTTTCAATCTTGGTTGCACGTGGAGTGATCACTAATCCAGGTAATGTCTCGATCATCGCGACAGCCACAGCAATGAGCTCGTGCTGCAGTCACACACATCGCTCTCAGGCTTCACTGGGGTGGCTTTGGACCGACGCCGGAAAACTTGGAGCAACCCCCGCCCTCCTTTTCTTTTTTTTTTTTCGTAGCAGCCGCGTGCCGCTTAACGAAACACACACGCGCGGGCGCGGCCACGCATCTCGCAAGAGATCCTAGACAATTGACTTCGGTGGTGGAAACGCACTCAACATTGCAAGATACCTATTATCGCGGCTCTCTGCGACGCGATGGGCTACCATTGAGGCCGAAGCAGAAACTTGGGAACGCCTGCGAGGTGCGTTCATGTAAGGCAATTCTAGATTACAGCTCTACCACGCAGGGTGTGTGGTGAGTGGTCAAAGTCCACCTTTGCCCAGTGACGGTACATTGAATTCAACCCGGCCTTGTTATCATCTGGATCTGCATATGGGTCTCCGAGTTTTCTCCAGCTCCAGCTCCCCTCCCCTCCCCCAATGACAGCTGCGCCCTGCAGAGGCAGCATTTACCCATCACACTAATGTACACGGACGACATTCATTGGATATCGCAATATTCAAAAAGGGATCCAAAGCCACGTGATTGATGTCATCCGCTTAGAATGAAGAATACTTTGTGCTCAATAATAATTGAAACAAACGTAACCGCAGCATCCCCTGGGGGTTTTCCGTGACTTGTCTAATCACCCTTGCCCACATAGAATGAACGGTGATGAACTTTGTCCCATTCGAAGATACCCCAGTCACTATCAAAGATCTTCTACAATTACAAATCGCATTTGGAAGCATCTTGCGAGCCATCAAGATTGGCTGCGACCGGCGATTGAATTGATCCATTGGCTTCGAATGGGAAAGATCAGGGCTGATCACCGTACTGGTTGTTGAAAACTGCCAGCTGCTCTTCCATCCTCGTCTTGTGGTGAGCTCTGGTGACATTGGCGTCAGTGCCTTGGTACGAGACGCGGTGCATGCTTCCATCGCCGTGCAGTTGTTGGCTTGTGTATTGGGATGATCTTCGCCTTGTGATTTCGCTTTTCGATTCGGTCGATGAATGTCGATGAGATGGTTTCGATGGAGTGTTGCTACGAATCACTTCAGTTCACACACCGCATACCTAGATGTTTGGAGAAACTGTACCCGTTGTAGACGGAATTGGTGGAGTTCATGATGAATACAAAGGACTTTTGGGTTCGAAATTCAACAATATCTCCGACAACGATATTATAACGAGCAAACAGCGAATATTCAACGGTCGAAAGTTGGATTGACACTTTGGATATGTACGAATACCAATGCTTTAAGACGCCAATGATAGGTTTCGAAAGCTGTCCCAGTCTGCACTTTTTATATTACAGAGAGTTGCTCCCTGAGCCTCCACCTCCTCAGTCCAGCGCAATCACTTTTCCCTACCACGCCCGCTTCGTTCAGCAACTGAACAGTGGTTCGCCCGAGACTCATTGCTCTGCGGTCTGGCCAGCCTAACCATGTCTGTACTAGCAAGCTGTACTTGCGATTTGCAAGAATCTGCCAATGGGGCGGGGCGATGCATCAAAACCGCAGTCGAGGTGGGCAAGACCATAATTTGCAAGAGAGGCAGGCGTTGCGCCGGGATGATTCCGCGTCGACATGGGTTTGATGTCGGTGGGAGATTCTGGATATGGGCTGTCAATGTACGACTTGGCGTGAATCGCAGTGGGCCGGTTTGTGATAATGCTCTAACGAGGTAAGCACATGGTGAGGCTTAGGCATGCCTCAACATCATCCGGTGTTGTGTATCTAGAGTCGACAAGAGAGAGCCTCATGCCCCACAACGATGCTTAGAATATGGATGTTATCGAAGATCAAATTTGAAAGAATGTCAAATTCAAGTTTCAATGATCGAAAAGGAAGACTTTGGAGACCGTTGTTCCGGTCTCCGGCCCGGATCTGTCTCCGGCTGCGGCTGCGGATGCGGCTCCGTAACAGCGATCAGCCCAAAGTTTAAAGGGCGTCCGGCACAAGGATATTCAACTTCGAACCCTCGTAAAGAGCATATGCTGATAACGCTACTGGCGTATCAGGATATTGCATGAAAATTTGGAGAAAGCTTCGATGGTAGCATCTCGCGCCCAAAACGAATGGAGTAGCCCAAATGATACCAGATCAAACCATGATTGGAGGGTTGCCAGACGTGGATACTGAGATAAGACCAACGCAAGCGGCACGCAACAGGCGCAGAACCAAGGCAGAATTTTGAGGGGGAAACACGTCGAATGTTACACGACGTGAAGTGAAAGTACTCCGCATACCTTATCATGATGTTGAGTGGTGGAAGCAGCACTAGCTGCAGAGCGTCGCCAGTTGACCTCGTATCGGTGCTTTTCAGGATACTGCGGTAAAGGGATGATGAGGGGTAAGCCTGGTCGTAGTTTGACGTGTTGTCATCTAACTGGTGCGGAAAACCGGTTTTCCGACATTGTGTCGACACTACCTTCGATGCTGCCTGAACTTGGCGCCAGGCAGAACTAGGCAGTCGAAGTAGGCCTTCTTTGGTTGCCTTTGTCTTGATGACATGGTTCGCAAACTGGTCGGGGAAAGAGAACTATTGGAACATGGTTAGTAATCTTGGAGTGGCTCGTGTATAGTGGCTCGTGTATAGTGGCTTATGCTGTGGCTCTGTCGTGTGGCTGGGGTTATGTGGCGTTCCACTGAATTGGTGTGTGTATTCCCCCAAAAAAAAAAAAAAAAAAGGATATGGAGTTGAGAGCGAGGTCGAGGTCGGTGTTGATGATCAATGTCATGTCGCCTGGTGAGTGATCATCATGGCCGTCTGAGAGGTAAGTCACCGTGGGAAAGACGGAGGGTGGAGGAAGAAGGATCAGAGAAAGGAGCGGGTGATGGCGAGCTTAGGTATATGTCGGCGGGAGGCAAATGGACCTTTGGAGCCTGAAGCCGATGCAAAATGTGCATTCGCACCAACACCGAATGCACACATAAGAAAGGAAAATGAAGTACTGCACGCAAAAATGTTGGGGGGCTACGAGTGCTTAAATGTTCCCTTCTTGGTTGCGGCTCGGTCGGTCAGCCCCAGGATCGTCTGATCTGAGTGAAATGACCCTTGTACTGCATTCCTCTCTGTGATGGACCCGATTTTCAACCCCTGCAACCCTATCATGGAGCTTAGGACAAACGACAAGGGTGCTTATTTGCGAGGCCTGTCGTCCAAGGTCCGATGTCACATTGGGGGCAAACCTGCAGCCTTTTCACATGGTACCTTCTGATTTCTTCAATTTCTCAGCTAAGTGTTGGGTGTACGGTTTTTGTCAAATGCAGCCGTATTTCTTCATTTGATATGCCACGTCAACGAAGGTCCTAAGAGTCCAGGATGGGAAATCTGAAATGAGAAAGGGTATCTGTCGTCGAAAGGGGAGCGGCCAGATCCGACTGGTCGTAGCCGGGCTGCAAAGGCAGGAGACCTACGCTCCTGTTCCAGGTCATCTTGCGTGTTCATTCTGCCATCACTACCTGCCTGCGACATGTCATTCGGATGGTACATGCCACCCACCCCTCGCTTTATCCTTGACCTATGGTTTGGCCGGGCGCAGCTTTGATGCGTTTCCAAGTGCCTTCCGCAGCTAGTTATGACACCGACTCTCAACGTAAACCCCACAAAATGGCCACGCTCCAGGTGCCAGTGGCCGAATAGACCCCCCCCCCCCCCTCCTCGCACCAATAGCCCTTTTACGATGGATAGGTCATGTCGCAGGCACCCAATGATGGCAGCAACGCGCAAGATGGAAGAACGGGGCGTTTCCGCGCTTGAATATTCGACTTTGTTCTCGGATTCGGGCATGCGTCATGAATGCGACGTAAGTCTCCAGAGACAGCCAGCGTGGACAAGCTTGCCAACTCGCTGTTATGTCGAAATGCGCACCGCTCACCCGACGCCCATACGGTGGTTGTTCTTCTGCCTTTTCAGCCGGGCCATGTCCAATTGGCGATAGTGACTGTTGATGTCGTTGAAAGGCGACGTCAAAATCCATATCTAGGGCCAATGGTTCATCGGGTCGCGGTTTAGATTCGACCCCGAAAAGGGCAAGCAGAATGAACTGGTGTGGAGGGATGGGAGATTTGACAAGTGGAGAAAGTGATGGAATAGGACAACAGTGGGGTGAGTGGTGAGAGAACACTTAGAAGCAGTGAGCCACCATCAGGTGGCCGGTCGCCCCCGGCGCGGCCACAGAGACGTCTGCAATCCACATCTGTTAGCTACAGGGCGCCAACACAGCTCCGCACAGTGTATTGCAGCCAAGCTGCGGTAAATGTGTTTTGTGTCCTCTGCATTTGCCATTGCATAATTCATCAAAATACGATCAGCCTGTCAGCGTTGATAGTCAGCGTTGATAGCGACTTGATCTGGCTACTTACTTATTTAAGACATGCAAGCTTGCGTACCCTGTCATTGGGGTGATGGACATTTACCCCTCGGGCGATTAACAGTGGTTGATCCCTATCACCGATGTTCATTGCCCCTGTCACCGTGCCGCGTGCTACGGCGCGCGAGACTGAAATACAGTATTATAAAGAGAGGACGTGTGCGCTATCACGAAGAAGGTATTCTGATATTTGGAGTACAAGAACATACCTGAGTACTCGCTTCTGGCGACCCAGGCTGTCGCTTCAGCTGAGGAGCTCAGTGCCGAACGCTTGTGGCAGCCGTGCATCGCACCAGCAACCTCTCCAACTCTTAGGGCTTACAATTTGCAACGCTCCCGTCAGACTCCGGTGCCAAGCCCGGTATGAATGAGATCAATTTGTGGGTATCAGATCAAATCCTGCCATGAATCGTCCTGACCTCAGAAGCGGTAGTACAGTGGAGATGTACACCCGATGGCGCTTGAGTCGCCCCATTTCAACCACATGGCGCACTGTGTTGATTGAAAGCTGCTGCAATGATTCCTTATTTCATATTTGTCTTTGCGTCTTACTCGATTGTCTGAAACTCCTTCAAGACGAGACGTTAGCAGTGCCAAGAGCTTGTGGCCTTGACGACATGCAGTATGATGGCGATTTATGAACGTCTACCTCCTCACCGCCAAAAGGCCTTAGAAAAGGTATGTTGCAGGGTTGGCCCTCACTCAAAGTTAGAGTATGCATTGCGCAGATTTCTAAAAAGCACTGACTTATCGAGCGGTCTTGACTATTCCACTTGATTGATGAATGGGATTAGAGGCGCAGCGGCGAAGGATATGTAGGACCGAGATGGCAGGAAGTAGTGCCCCTTTGACGTTGCAAAGATGAGGAATCTTGATATGCTAATCATTCCGCGAAACTATCATATGTGAGCGAATGTATCATTCGCGTCAAGAAATATCAATACGAACTAGTTATATCTCATTCGTACTATCGATTGCTGCCATTAAATGTACTCTTTTTGTTTCGTCTGACTGATGATTGGTTTCAAACATTTCCGTCCGATGAAATTCCTTGAATGACGTTGGTCGTGTGCTTACGCTCAAATGATTTTACTGGCCAACATAACCACAAGTCCCGTGCAAAGAGCAGTTGTTAACAAAATCTCGGGCTCGATCATGATGCTCTGTGCCATCTTCTACGATGACACACTGTAATTCAGGGCCGCAGTCAGCGTTGTCGTTCAAGAACAGAAGGGTTCAGATGTTCACCTTGAGATCACCACCGTCTCGAATGACGAGATATCCACGGTTGGCGCAGCCTCTCCTTACGCCGTCATCGTCCGGGACAACTTCGCCATCTTTGAGGTCTGTGCAGTCACAATCTACTTCCTCGCCCGGTGCAGGAAATTGGGCCATCGCGGTGGTAGCCGCCATTCTAATTACTTATTAAAACCTCTCTGCAGAGTGAAGCAGTGTTCACTTACATAGCTACTACGATGATAGTGAAAGACACCATTTCTGCGATTGGGACCTCGAGGAAGTTGGTGCGAAGGGTTGGTTGAAGCTACAACTCTGATGGTGGCGCTTGTGCCAGACGGGGCTGCTGAGGCTGTCCGTCGAGCTTTATATGTATGCTACTTGCGTCAACGTTCTTATTTTAGCCATCTTGAATGCGAGATTTCTCGTATCAACCAATTGAGGATCATACGGAGTTTCGCATACGCGCGTAGTGGCTATTCTGGCGACTCGCGCCCCTGGCTGATCGCACTTGCCCCGTACTGATAAGATGCTACCCGAATTAGACTTCGGACGCCCCGAGATATTGTCAGTTGTCTCCACTTGCAAGTGAAAGTCTCTCGTTCTGAATTCACAATCTAGGACGGACTTTTCATTCTCATCTGCGGTACATTCATGTCGTAGAACGCCCTTAGCGATCTCCTTTCGTGACCCCGCCAAGCTCGTTAGGGAGTTGGGCCCTGGGGTATGGTGTTGCATGATTCGAGCCCCTTCCTCTTTAAAGGCCATGCGGATAGTCAGCGTCCTTGTTTGGGGGTTCAGGGGTGCATTTCAGAAACCGAAGCCGAGAAGACGACTTCACCACAACTGTGCCACCCAGTCATGAATGCGCACTTCACCGGCGCATACTCAAGTTGCCCTTGCACGATTGTGACCCTTGGTTGCCAGCCTAATTGCCCGTATGGGAAGTTTCCGAAGAATTGACTGCAACCATCAGTGATCACTGTTAATCACCGGCTGCGTGAACCTGGCCCAGACAGCTTGCAGCGGAGGCGTAGGGTTCGTAACAGATATAGCGATTGCCAGGTCTTCTTCGTTTGCCCAGGGTAAACCGTGATCATGTGGAATAAACGACTCCCAAGGTTATCTCCTTTCTGCGTTTCCAGGACAATGCAGTCTAATGTTGGTTATTTCTGGGAACTATAAATAGCATAATTAAAGCTTTGCCTGTCACCTAGGTTTCTAGTCCGGAACACGATGCTCATGAGTGCAATTCGAAAGTATAAGTACGACATATTTTCGATTGACAAAGGCAGTTTCCACTATCGTCCTGAATCTTTTGGATTGGTACTCTGAAGCACTCTCAAAGTCTCCCGGAGCCTACAAATCTCAGTTATCCACACGCATGGACTTGAACCAGTTACTCAAACTTCAGAGCTGGAATCTACGTCGTCCAAATAGTAGTTCTCGGGTTTCAATCTTTGTTGTCCACTGGTTCTTTAGTTTTCAATGCCTGTGTTCTCAGCCGCCAGACCATCGGCCTTGAGAGCCGGTCTATCTGATCTGCCAGCGGTAGTCTAAATTCTGTTAGCCCATTATATAATACCCACCTTAGTAGAGATGGCGCTGGGAGAAGGGGACATACACCACCGTCAACAGGCATAATTAGTCCTGTGATCCACCCAGCCTCTTTGCTGGCCAGGAATAAAACGGCTACACATTCCTTATCAGCTGATCTCATTGATTTCGAGAAGTGCTGCAAGAGCGGTCAACAGATACTCACCGTACCCAACATCCCAAGCCGTGCCTTCTTTCTTCATCAAGTTCTGGTCGATCCGAGCCTGTCTTGTTTCCTCGGTCATGCCACGCCCTCGGACCATTGGAGTGTAGACCATGCCCGGAGCAATGCAATTGACACGAATGTTCTCCGAGCCGTGTTGAGCAGCCATGGCTCTGGTCATTTGAATGATTGCACCTTTGGTTGTGGGATAGAGCAGACTGGGGTTACCTCCGAGTACTAACCCAGTTTCATAGGTCAGCGGTGGTCAATATCTCGTTAAGAGACCCGGGGAAACATCGCACTGCGATGTCTCGGCCCAGAAAATGAACCACTTGAACTTACAGCCACTGACAGAAGAGATGTTAATAATGGAACCTCGCCCTTGCTTTCTCATCTCGGGAATCGCGTAGCGCGACATCATGACCATACTCGTTACGTTGATCCGAAAATCTCTTTCCCATGCCTCGAGGTTGATGTTCGTGGCATTTCCGATAGCGCCCCCCACGCCAACTGTACATGAAGTCAGACTGGTCATTCACAAGCCGTATGCTTTCAAGAAAGTTCACTTACCGTTATTAACCAGTATATGAACGGCACCAAACAGCTCAACGGTCTTAGAAACCGCATCTCTGCAAGAGTCTTCTTTGCTGACGTCTGTCTGGATGATTTCAGACGTCCCGCCTTCCTCATCTATCATTCGTCTGGTCTCTCTAGCCCAGTCCTCATTCAAGTCAAGCAACGCAACCTTAGCTCCGTGCCTGGCAAGGAGGATTGCTGCAGCCCGGCCGTTTCCAATTTCACCTGAAGTATGTTAGTGTGCTTTAGACTACATTGACTGCGTTGGTGAACCGTGCGAACGCACCATCCATCCGGGAGCCTGCGCCGGTGACGATCGCCACATCCCCTGCGAAGTCGAAAGCTCGAGGAGGAACCATACTGGCGACTTGCGTAATCTTCAGTTGTCTTTCAGGGGAGTTCGTTTCAATCGCTGTTACATGTAAACAGCGGTAGTTCGAGATGCTCTTGCGAAGATGATCCGTGTCTAGGCGCGTACCCCAAGAGCTTTCAGATTTGCGATGCAGCCAATTGTTACAGTCCGCTTGTTTTTTCTATAGCGGAAAATGATAACCTTCATGACATCACATGGCAGCCGAGTTCGGGGATAACAAGCGGGGTATTGAAATCTCTCACACGCCTGGCAGACTTCAGACGGAGTAGAACCAATGCCTGCACAATTTGTGGTGGCTTGCCGATTGAAGAGGTGTGCGTGTTTCTCGCAATTCTTTCTTCATCCCGGTAACAGTCTATATAGAGAGGCATTTTAAGCCATAGTCTAAATTCAGCCGTCCCGAATACGTATGTCAATTGAATAATGTCATGTTCCTCTCAAACGGTTTGCCCATTGCTTGGTACACCGTAAGCATCCCAACACATGACAACGACCAATGGTGACCAGACCTATCAGTGTTGACTCTTACGATGCAAAATCTCTTGGTTCCCCATATTCTAGATTCCCATGATTACAGAAATCTACAGAAGCGCCCAGAACGACTCGGATTATGACGTTGTGGATGGTGGACAAGACAACCAATAGTTGAACCAACTCACAATCCCAGCCAGGCTCTGCTCCTTCACCCATCCTGGAGAAGTATTAGTTAGTAAAATACGTCCTACTCTAAGGAGTAGAGGTACTTACGTTGGTACGGGTCCTTGGAATCACCGCGCAAAGCGAACCCGTGCTCAACGCCCGAAAATAGTTGATAGTGATAGATCTTCTTCTCGGACTGAAGGATATCTAACGCTCTTCTACGAGATGGGACATCGAACGTATGGTCAACCTCGGAGCAGGACATGAGGAGAGGCTCTGATAAAGCGAGATCAGCTCATAATCCTTTGCAACCAGCATCCAGCAACGGACTTGGGTAATATTCAGGGTATAGAAAAAACCGCACTTTTAAGATTGAGGAAGTGATGTCCCTTCAGAAACGCCGGATGCGCAAATGCGCCGACTGTGACCGTATTCTTTGCCAGCTCATCGCAGACGTATGGCGCGCCAAAACAGTAGCCTACGCAGGCGAACCCCGTCGTTTCCGTTCCATATCGTTGCTTAACCGCGTCCACCCATTTGGGCACAGCAACATCCGCGAAAGTTGTGTGTTTGGTTTTCCAAGCCTCGTAGTCAAAGTCAGGGTTAGAGGTGTCATTTCTGTCTTTTCGATGTTTCCAGACTGGGTCCTTCGGCAATAGTCAGCTCCATGTCATCAGTGCGTGCTTCAAGAAACGCCCTCACCCCACGGAAGTAATCGAGGCCCAGTACTAGATACCCTGCATCCGCAAAGGCGTCCATGACCAGCAGTCCGTTGACAAACATACCCCAGACATCAGGGAAGTAAAGCACAACATGGCCGTTTGCCTTATCGGTAGGCGGTTTTGATACGTAAGTCTGGACATCTGCGATCACTTCCCAGGACCCGCGTGCTTCACCTTCGTGGATCGTGCCTTTGAGACAACACTCACCACTCGGCATGGCGAGATACCCTGGTATCTTGTCCGTAGACATGTGGTGCCGTTTTACGGGCTGTTGTTGAATGCTAAACTGACTGTGTTTCGATTCTCATTACCAGTCTAATGAGATCTCATTGTACCGTGGCTGTGACGTATTTTCTGATCAGCGGATGTTTCTCTTGCTGTCGGCAAATCGGCTCGGCCAGGTTGATGATAACGGGCGTCATTCTCCTCACTCGCTCAAATTTGTCACCCACACCACATTCCTGATAATAGTGACCAGTAGAGGAATTCTATCTGCCTAGCGTGCTGACCCCCGCACTCCATGCCGCCGGGAGCGGGATGTGGGTTCCCCGCAGTCTTCCTGGGATCTCTTCCCCGCAGAAGCTATCCATGGGGCCAGTGCCATGGGAGCGATTACGAGCTCTTCTTCAAGCATGAGGCGCGTCTCTTCATTCTGCTTACTGTTATCTCCCAGGTCCCAAGAACTCTTAGGCATTTTACATCCAGCGTCTTCGTTTGAAAAGCGACTTGATTTGGTGTCAAGACTAGCAGAAATGACAGACGCTCCTATCAAGCCACAGGGTGGCGTAGGCGATATCGACCGGGGAGTCCTACCCTCGTCTGATCTTAAACTTCAGGAGTTAGACGCAGAGCACCAAGAGAACGCTGTCGGATATAGAGAGTACCTTGAAGCCATAGACTTGGAGGTCTCGGATAAAGAGGTTCGTCCCCCTTTCCCATAGTGGGAGTTGGGTTTGAACCAGAAATGACCCAACCTCTGACAACTCGAACGAAAGCTGCGAAGACTTCGATGGAAGCTTGATCTCACCATCCTACCCATGTTTCTTGTGACCCAAGCTTTGCAGTTCATGGACAAGACGTCCTTGAACTATGCCAACCTCTTTGGGTACCAAGCAGCACTCAATCTTCAGGGCCAACAGTTCAACTACCTCTCAGCGAGTGAGTCCCATTTACTTTGCAGGAGTCGAGGTAAACCTCGCTAAATTGCTATCACAGTGGTATATGCCGGGTATTTCTTCGGCCAGTATCCTTGCGGCTGGCTGATTGGTAGATATCCTGCTCAAAGAGTCATGGCCATCAGCATCTTCTTCTGGGGTCTGATGGTGATTCTCATGACCCAAACTCGAACTTATTCTAGTGCCTGTACGCCAGTCCCCAATCATACTTTTCAATCAAAACTAACTGACCTTGTCTGTAGTAGGCGTCCGATGTGCGCAATTTCGCCCGTAGCTAGGCGTCGGAAGACTGACAGGGGTGGTAGTCATAATGGGAATATTTGAAGCCGCCGTTACACCGTGGGTCATTTCCAAGAAAATGAAGAAAGCTAGACGCCTCTTACAATATTCTCAGTGGCTTGACACTCATGACGGGGTTCTGGTATACGCGTAAAGAGATACCCCTTCGACAGTGCATATGGTAGTATGTATCATGTCAAAGCACACCGAGCCTCATACATGAGCTGACACTATGCCTAGCTCGTCTCTTGGCTGGGGCGGTATCGTGAGTCTGCTGGATTTTCTACATAGCTGACAACGGAAACCTAACACCAGCTAACGCGGTGCTAAGATCGGATCTTACATCTCTATGGGCGTGTCCAAGCTCCCCGCTGACCTGAAACCAGAGCGCTGGGAGCTCATTTTCTTCATGGTATGTGTTTAACATGGACAGCCTGTTCGGTTCGCCTGACGAAAATATCTCGGTAGCTGGGCGGAGTGACGTGCGTCTGGTCGCTGGTGATCTGGTTTTTCTTACCAGACTCGCCCTCAAACGCGTTCTTCCTGAACCACCGCGAAAGACTTGTTGCAGTCAAAAGGGTCTCTGAGAACGAGACTGGCATCAAGAACAAAGCGTTCGACAAGAAACAGGCCCTCTTGGGATCTTTCGACCCGAAGACTCTGCTGCTGTTCACGTCCGTTTTTGCAGCGTCAGTAGCAGCCCCGTCATGAGACGAATCCCTACTGATAAGAGCATAGCGCGATTCCCAACGGGGTTGTCAACTCCTTTTCCACTGTTATCATCCGTGACATGGGGTTCAGCACAACACAGACCACGCAGCTCAAGTCGGTTGGAGATGCGGTTCAGATCGTCGCTCTCCTCATTGGGGGCAGTGTCATCCTGAATGTGAAGGATTGTGAGTCCCTCCCGCAAACAATGCAAGCCTCTTGCAACTGACATCACATGTGTGGAAAACAGCGCGTCTGATTACAGCTTCGGTAGCCAATCTGCTTTGCACAATCTCGGCTGCTTGTATGGCATATCTACCTGAGTCGAATACCTGGGGCCGGCTTGTGTCATTCTGGCTGGTCAACTCACAGTCAGTCGGCTTCACGGTGTCTCTGACCACCATCTCCTCCAACATGGCCGGATACACCCATCGTTCTCTCGCGAGCGCCATGGTTTTGTGAGTCCGCCTGAGTGAAGCTTTTACTCGATTAAGCTTACGTGAAGTTACAGCACGGCGTACTGCTGGGGAAACTTTGCTGGACCATTCGTAGTCAAGCAATCGGAGGCGCCGCACTTTCGAGGAGCTACGATTGGGCTCCTGGTCGGCTACGCTATCAAGTTGATCTGCCACCTGACTCTGCTCAGTAAGTCGCCAGGGGTCGCATGATCCCCTTTAACACGGTCGCTAATGGTCATCCAGTCTATATGTACCTGGTGAATCGCCATCGTGACAAGAGGTACGGCGAGCCCAATAGGGAGAGCAGCAAGGAAGCCGGAATGAGGGACCAGACTGAGTTCGAGAACAAGGACTTTAGATATGTGCTTTGAGCACGTCACTGGATGAGCGCAGCTCGCCCAATCGATGCTCCGTCAGGGGTGTCGAAGGATTTCAGGGCGCTTCTGCCTGCATGCAGTGAGACTTCAGCGAGGCCTCCGGCCCCAACTTTCCGCCTCACTCTGCGCCTTGAAATCTGCCTCGCGATAGCGTCGGTCGCCTGGTCGCCTGGCTTTGCCTGACTTCAGGCAGCATCCAGTTCGGATTTCGCATGAGGCAGCTGGTTGCCTCGCCTGTCGACGTGTCGGTTCGCATCTCAACTATGGCCAGGTGCTGCCAGAATTCGCCAGCTGTATGATCTGGTCGTAGGTGAAGTGAACTGTTGGAAAGCCATGAAAGTGTCGTTGACCTGACTAACGCAGCATTGCTGTGATTTCGGATTCCCATCAACCTTGGGTGCCATAGTAGAGCGGACCGTTTCGTGTGTTGTATGGCGAAATGAAAGAAGAAGGTAATGGGAGATGAGAATCGACGAGGTCGAGTACCAAAGAGTTCGACAGATAGATTTGCATCGGGAAGCACCCGTGTGGGCTTCGAGACTCATATACTGACAATGACCTGCCGACGGTGAGCCTCAATGATAATATCTCCTTTGTGACTCACAGTTCGGAAGACGGGCATGCAAGGCCTTTTAATACCAGCCATGTCAACATGCGCTGTGGGGGCCGAATCCTTCGCCGCTCCAGGACCGCGGGAAGCGGGCAACTTTTAGTGCTTACAGGACCCCTGTTCTGCGTCAACATGTCAGCACTGCCTTCGCAAGCGGCCCTACGCAGCCGCGGAAAGCCAATCAAACAGCAATCCTTGATGCTCTTGCAATTCCATTGACAGGGCCTGAGGGCTAATCATGCGGGAAGCCTAGGGCCGCCCCCAAATGCATCCAACCGTAGGATCACCACCCCTGTGACTCCTGTGGATCTTCAACATCTGACCTCAGCGCCAACCTTGGACGCAAGCTACGACGCAGCACCACCTCGGGGAACACCTGCTTGGTGCAGTGACACACGGGATCTTGCGCCACCGCAGTGACTTTGTGGAACATCGGAAGTCATCAAGCTTGTTGACTTCGCGCGGGCTATCAACGACAAATTCAATGATCTCTATTGGGCTTTACGTTCATCGATGTGGGTTTTTGACACGCACAGCTCACACTTCCCCTGCGGCCCTGACGGCAAACATTAGGGTGGCGGACGCGAGTGCTTCCAACCGAATCACATTCAGCGTGACCTAAAATGAGTTTACTTGTGAAATAGCTTTCCCGTTGGCAAAAAAGGCTGTGATGTTGTCCATGGCCTCCCGATAAGCGTTCCCCCAGGCTACGTCAGTCCAAGATCCCATATGCGGCTGGACAATACACCGGGTGCTATTCCGGAAGTATGAGCTGACAGGTCTGGTCAGTTCTGCCTTTTCAAAACTTCGGTTCAAGCCATGGATTCGTGCATCAGGCTGTGACTCACTTGACGTTGGGCTCTCCATCAAAAACATCGAGGCCAGCCCGGGCAACCTTGCCGCTCTCCAACGCTTCAATGAAGGCTGCCTCATCCACCACTGCCCCACGGCCAGTGTTGACAAGGATGACCCCATCCTTCATCTTTGCGAATTCATCAGAACCAATCAAACCTCGTGTGTCGGGAGTGAGTGGACAGTTGATTGATACGACATCAGATGTCTTGAGCAGGGCTTCTAGACTACCCGCATACTCAACAGAGAGGCGGCTTTCTTCTTCGGGTGAAAGCTGGGTCCGATTGTAGTACTGCACATTCATACCGAAAGCCTGCGACTTGCGCGCGACATGCTGAGTGGTAAGGAAGGATCAGCGCCATACTTTCACTCGTATTAGAGATTGTAGTGTCACACCTTTCCGATTTTTCCCATTCCTATGATCCCAAGCGTTCGGCCCTTGGGATCCAGTAGGGGGAGCTTTGACCCACCACGCCATCCACCATTTCGGATCTCTCCTTCGAGCCTGGAGGTGTCCCTCAGAGCTCCAAGCATCAAGAAAATTGCAATATCTGCCGTCGGCTCAGCGACCGCATCAACTGTATTAGTCACGACGATCTTGTTTTTGTTGAACCATTCCATGTCAAATTCGCTGTAACCGGCGTTTACGGAGGCAACGATCTTGAGTTCCGGCAGGAGTGGGCCTAGCAGGCCCTCGTCAAACCTCTCATAACCGCCATTGCCCATGCCGATCAGGACGGCATCAAACGGTCCATCGGAGTTCCGCGCGTCTGAAATTGCTTGAACAGTGCCTTTTCTGTCGCTAGGCAAGATGATCTGATCTATCTTTAGTACCCATTCGCGAATCCCCGTGTCAGGAATTGAACTTACATGCAGGTCACAAGTAGATTGGAACCTGGACACAAACTCATCGCCTGCATAAGAGGGACATGCAATAGATAGGACTCTGGGCTTGCGGCCTAAAGATTGCGGTGTGGAGGTCTCCATGATTTGGTCCAAGATGGATGGTACAAATGAGTGAAGGTCTCACTGAGCGTTTCACTTCAGCTGGCAATGATTTGAGAAAATTAGTGCTCAACGACCCCGAGCTATTTGGCTTAGGATATCACTGAAATGGGGAGAGCTATTCCCGATGCTTGTATCGAAATGTTGGAGGATGCCATCTGGGGACATGCAGGTCAGCCAATCAGACAACGCGGCCCTGGCCGAGCGAAGAGGGGCATGGTCGATATCAGGTCGGGTTGGCCCGACTATGGTAATCGTACTCCGCAACTGACTGAAAAGGTGAGGAGGAGCAATGGAAGATCCCCTCACCGGTAATGGTCTTTGGGCTTATTGGTGCATCGCCCGAGTGATCAATGGATGATACTGTGATTTAAAGCAATCCAATCCGGGCTTCATTGTGAAGTATTTGGTAGCGACCTTCCGGTGAAAGACCCGAGTTTGTTTGGAATCTCCAACTTTATTCAGACAATCTCATAACACCTACGCAAACATGGCTACATCAACCATTACAATGGTCGAGTCTACCATTCAGGCTCCTCCTCAAGAGATTGTCATGAGCGACACAGATCCACAACATCCTTCAGATGGCGTACCGGATCTTATCAGCAAACTTCACGTAATTCCAACATTTACGGATCCCCTCGTTGAACGTCAATGGGCAAAAGAACACCTCGTGGGTGCTTTTCGCATCTTCGCCAAATTCGGCTACAACGACGGCGCCGGCGGTCATATCAGCTTGCGCGACCCTGTCGACCCGAAGTGCTTTTGGATCAACCCCTACGCCGTCCACTTCAAGCTTCTGAAAGTCAGCGACCTCATTCTCGTCAGTGAAGAGGGGAAGCCTCTCACCAAGACGTCCAACAAAGTCAACCGAGCAGGCTTTATGATACACGCGGCGCTTCACAAGGCCAGGCCAGACGTCAACGCGGCTGCACACTGCCATTCACCTTACGGCAGGGCGTGGTCTGCGTTTGGGAAGCCTATCGAGATGCTGAACCAGGACTGTTGCATGTTCTACGATGACCTGTCTGTTTACGAAGGCTTCGGTGGCGTTGTTCTTGCACAAGACGAGGGGGAGAGAATTGCGAAGGCGCTGGGGCCAAAGCACAAGAACGTCATTCTTCAGAACCATGGAATCCTTACCTGTGGAGGGACTGTTGATGAGGCAGCTGCTTTCTTCATCGCACTCGAGCAGGCATGTCAGGCACAGCTACTGGCCGAAGCTGCCGCTGCAAACGGTGTTCAGAAGCGATATGTCACGGAAGAGGCAGCCAGGTTCACAAAAGCGGGATCAGGAACACCAGAAGTTGTCTTCATGCAGTTCAAGCCTGAGTATGACTTGGTGCTGGAAGAGACAAATGGAAGCTTTCTGTCATAGTTGTGGATAGTACATTGAATTTTATTACGATGATTTGCCGTATAAAGCAAATTTTTGTCCTATGCATTTGATGCTGGAGGCGTGATCCGTTGGCATCAAGCCCGGGCAGAGTCGAAGATTAGGAAGCAATGACGAGTTCACGAATAACCACGCTTGTATGCATCGCTCGTCCTAGTTGTCTGGCGTATTTTTCATCGAGACAGTTAGCGAATCTTCACGAGTGACCTTCGCCCAATGATTCAATTTTTGGTATCAAAATCGCGGAGAAAGTAGTAAACTCCGGGCTTTACCTCGGGAGATACGATACAAACGGTCTTTCGGCCCAGGCCGCTTTTGCCTCGGTGGCACTCTCGATTTTCACCAGCCACTCGGATTGAGCCGTGAGTAGATTGAGCGTTCATCATAAGTATCAATCTCGTGTGAGTTTCGGCGTGTTCGGGACAAATACCAAGTAGTATTGATAACAGACGTCCGGGACACGACTCGAGACCACTCGACTAAGTTACTCTAAATTCCGCATTGTGCATTCACATGAGCACCCAGTAATCGATAACATGGTCGAGGTCCGAAAGTACCATCTGCCGGCGACGGCACTCATGCCAAATTCACCACATCCACTTCTGCATTATCCAAGCTACTTCTCAGCCCAAGATGACTTGACGGCCAACAGAGTCTGCCAAACGTTCAAAGACAATGGCTGGGAAGTCCAGTGGATCTATAGATACGGCGAGACGCAACGTTCTCATTACCACTCTGGCGTTCATGAGTGTATGGCTGTCCTCTCCGGCTCAGCTACGATCCGCTTTGGCGTTGCAGACACCTCCCTGGACATGAAGGAAAACACCTGCGGAAAGGATAAGGAGACAGGAGGCATTGAGCTGGAAGCCCATGAAGGCGACGTGTTCGTCCTGCCCGCAGGCACAGCACACAAAACATTCAACACCAAGCCTGAAGCCTCCTTCACACTCTTGACCCCTGGGGATGGACATCATATCGCGGGAGGGGACATTGGCAAGGCGTTGAAGGAGACGCAAGACCGTATCACGGGGTTTACGATGATCGGTGCGTATCCTAAGGGCGGAGGATATTGGGATTCTTGCAAGGGCGGGGAGCACCATGGAGGATATGAGAAGGTGTGGGCGGTTCCTAAGCCGGAAAAGGACCCCGTGCTAGGAAGCTCTAACGATGGACTCCAGGGTTTATGGGCATAGTAAACGAGGATTTCTGTAGCAGCCAATTTGGTTTATTATTATTGAAGGCTTTCTACTACCCCTTTCTTGAAAGCAACGTTTCTTTTATTGATCCGTTAAGTTTCGATGCGAGGTAACCGAATCTAATGAGGCTATTGTTAATTACTATCGCACGTTGATTCAGAGTCGGGTTGTTTTTACCCAAAAACAAAATAGGACACTGTTCCTACTGTAATTTCAACCGATAAGGAAACCTCCCAAAAACAGTATGCTGGAGCTACAGGATTGAAAAGGTTTCGCTCTCTACATTGTCCGGAACAATAATGTAATAGATGGTTTACCTGTGGTGATGCACGTGTTCCAGCCCCCTAATTACAAGAACGTCCACAGTCAAGATACCACTCAAAACAGGCTATTGTCAGCACACGAAAATGGCCCATTGATTGTGCTCTCGGGGTCCGAGAACAGCTTCACCAATGTATCAACCGACGCATACATACCCGCTGTGTTGAGGAACGCGCCCATGAACACAAGTCCCCAATTCAAGCAGGACAGCGCGATCATGCGCTTGCTAGAGAACTGTCGTTTCCAATTGAGATGAAGCCAGAAGATCCCAGGTAGTCCGAAAGAGAACCAGGCAACCAGCAGAGCAGATGACACAGCAATTATGGAGTTGAAGACGGGAATAGCGTTCGCGAGCACAAACACCAAGACCCAGAAGCCTGTTCCCAGGAGAACCCAGATGCTCCATGACTTGACAGTGTTGGTTGTCATTTGGTGTGGGATCTTGAGCAGGTCGCGCATAGTTACCACAAAGAGGTATTTGATGCCGGCGTGGCCGTAAAATAGGCCTGTGCAGAAAAGAGTCGAGAGGAGAATGCCGTAAGCTACCTTGGCTGGGAGCAATGGAGCTGTTCCAATGGCAGGGGATGTGACATAGTCGCCGGCAAGTCCATAGATGGCGCCTCCAGTGATGAGATAGATGGGGATGGCAAATGACTGTAAAATGACCAGAGCGGAGACGTAATCCTTCGCTGGGTCTTTCATCTCCGCCATGACAGTAAAGAAGCCTTGCCTGCCACCGAAGGAGTAGCAGATGCTGAGAATAGCGGTGAATCCTTCTTGAAAAGTTGGGTTACCCCACAACTTGATTTTGATGTCGGCTCCGGGAGGAGCGAGTTGTGGTGAGGCTACGGCCAAGGCGATAACAACTATGAAAATTGGGACAAATATGCCAAACGTGGCAGGCCCTGGATTGTGGATGGTGTTAGACGTCGAATGTTGAAGATACGAAGTATCAAAACTCACATGAGAAATAAGCAACGAAATTCATTTTCCTTGGAATACACAACACATAGCATATCAACGCCGCGAATCCAATAAATGACACCGTGCACATGCTGTGTCCTGTGAGTGTGTTGAGAGCGACGCTGATAGCCAAACACGCCGAGGCACAAGCAAGACTGAGGTTGATGATGAGACCGACGGCACCAATAGTCGCCAAGACTTTACCGCCAAGAACTTGCAGCGCGTCCGGGAGGTTGTCAATGTGGCGGTACTTCTTCCAGTACAGCAGGAGAACATATGCTGTGTATGTGGACAAAGCTCCGATACCCATAATGGCGATGAGGCCAGGAATGAGACCGATACGTTGCAAAACTGACGGCAAGGCGAGAATGCCAATTCCAACCTCGGTATGAATCAACACGATGCCCGTTTTCCACTTGCCCAACACTCGAAATTGCTCGCCACCAGCGGCGGCAGCGGCGCCAAAGACTCCGCTCAAAGTGGCATCTTGCTGGTCATTGGTTCGACTGTGGCCAAGTTGCTCACTGGCAGTTTCGATATCATCGTCGTATGTTGGCGCCTTCTTGACGTCGTCATGTGTGTCTTCCGGTGTGGCCGCGATGGGCTTGACACCTGCGTACTGGGACATTGGCTTGGAGATGGCGGCGTGCGAAGAAGAGAGAGCTGGTTGGTTCAGCGAGTCGGATGTTTGCGGAAACACCTTAGATTTCTCAGATTCTGCAAGAATAGCTATATCAGCGTAAGAAGAAGTCAGAAACGCTGCATCACCCAACAATCTGAAGTTGCAAACTGCCTGTTGAGGGTATCAGACTACAGTCGGGCGGTTCCGCATTTCCGACCAACGCGGCCGATACCCCACCCCGGATGTGCCCCCGACGCCAAGTACTTGGCTGTCCATTGATAAGGTCGCGGTCGATCCTGCCTAATCGCTGCTGGCATTGATTGTCGTCATCTGATAGGTATGGCCCGGATAATTATGCACCTGAGTTGATAAGGCGTAATGAGGTCTCAATGCCCGCACGTTGTTTCTACTGAGGGTCGATCCGGACGGCACACTATCAGCAGTGGCATGCTAAAGGTAACGGGTTGACCCGAATCAGGAGATATCAAACGTCAAGTAAAATTCATGAAGCTATCAGATCTACTTTCTTATCATCGCTTGATGTCTTTTGCAGAAGTCTCGGACCGTCCCAACAAACCGATCCATGTCCGCTGCAGTCAGAGCCAGGTTCAAGGCCATACTACCGCGCGGGTGGATCCAGTACCCTGCCTCCAACATTTCCAACCAGAAGAGCCGCTTCAGATCCCCGTCCTCTACCACTGTCCAGTCGTCCTTGTATTGTATCTGATCCCGGGATAGCCCGTTCGTGGTGGCGTGAATACACATGAGGGTTCCAAGGCCCGTCACAGTGAACCGAGTACCTTGGACTGCCTCTAGTAGCTGCGCACGCAGAGCCTCGCCCCTCTGGTGGAATGCGTCAGCTACCTCATGTGTGAATACTTCGGATAGGCCAGTGTATCCCGCATTGAGCATGAGCGTGTTGTTCTGGAAAGTGCCTGAATGGGCAAGAGATCCCTGCATTCGTGGGTCGTACACGGCCATAACGTCGCGACGCCCTCCAAAGGCGCCAAATGGCATACCGCCGCCAAGGTACTTCCCGAACGTCTTCATGTCCGGAGCCAAGTCATGATCGAATGTGGAGGCTATGCCACCGCCATAGAGTCGAGATGTCATGACTTCGTCGAGTATGAAGAGTGCGTTGGCGGCGCGAGAATGCTCTTTGATCGCGCGAAGGAACTCAGTGGTTGCAGGAATCGCGCCTCCAGAGCCTTGCATTCCCTCCACCAATACCGCAGCGATATCTTCTTTGTTGTTCTCAAAAGCCTCAGCCAACTGCTCAACGTCGTTATATTGAGAGACGATCCAGTCTTGCTGGTCGACGTTGTTCGGCGCAGCCCCGAGAGAGAATGACAAGAGGCTTCCGTGGTATCCGCCCCTGAACACCACAATCTTGCGTTTCCCAGTGAATTTGCGAGCGGCGGCAATGCAGTGCAAATTTGCCTCAGTGCCTGAGTTTGAAAACCGAAGACTTTCCAAGTTGAAACGAGCACATAGCAATTCCGAGTATTGCTTTTCGTAGATGTTGGTGGCTCCGAGACTTAAGCCGATGTTCGATAGGACATTTGACATGGATGTCTTGATCTTGGGCTCCGAGTGGCCGAAGAGTCCGGCAATCAGCTCTCCCACAAAATCGCAGTATTCGTGACCGTCGAGGTCAATCAGCTTGGATCCCTCTCCCCGCACCATGACGATCGGGAATGGGGAAACATGAAGAAGCGTTCTGGTATTACCACCCGGAAGACTTTCCAAGGCAGCGTTGTGGTACTCCAAAGACTTAGTATTTCGAGTTTCGTATTGCTGGAGAGCTTCCGCCAACAGAGCTTGACACTGAGTCTGAGATGAGGGCGTCATGATGGGCGGTGAAGCAAACCGAGTGCGTTGAAGAGGAGGTACGAGTAATGGAGGAGATGGTCTATACGGTAGCTATCCAATGCTAAAAGGAGTGACCTTCAAGTGGCTGTGTTTGAATCGGGCTATTTCAACTAGATCAATACTTTTCCAACGCATTCATTCATGGGATCACCTGACATCATTCCAGGGGCGTGCTGCGTGGAGTTAGTTGCTTGTCTGAGATTTGATGTCCGGGTCGGATCGTACCGATTCTCTGCTGGCCATTCGTTTCTGGTGGAGTTATTGCAAAACCGGCGGCTTTAAAGAACACATCACGCCTGGGAGCCATCAAATAAAAACGACAATGATAACCCATAATCCTCGAATACTCAATCTAAATCTGACAAGTCCAAATGATGTCTGATTGCCAGCGGAAGCCGATTATTACCAAGGAGGCTCCCGGCCCCTATCCTCCACTGTCACAGGCTATGGTCCATGGCGGCTTTGTCTTCTGCTCCGGGTCAATCGGCATGAACCCCCAAACAAACTCGATTGTCGAGGGAACCATTGCAGATAGAACTGTGAGCGAGCACTCCATGGTATCAGATGAGATTCATGCTAACAACATGTTCCAGACGCAGGCTCTCACCAAGCTCGGCAAAGTGTTAGAAGCGGCAGGTTCAGGCACAGACAAGATCCTGAAAGTCAACATCTACGTTACAAGCATGGAAGATATTCCTCTCATGAACGAAGCTTACATGGTCTTTTTTGCTGAGCCGCGACCAGCCAGGGCCTGTGTGTGCGTTAAGGCCTTGGCCAGGGGTACGGACGTTGAGATTGAATGCACAGGGTTTATTTGAAGACACAACCTTTCCTGAGGCTTCTACAATAATTAAGATAGCTAAATGACAAGAAATCGCTAATATTCTACCGTGATCATGTCCATCAGAAGCTGCTCGACAGATGAGCACATGCCAATATCAGCCATGCCAGCAAAGTAATTGGAGACTTGGTCGGCCTGTAAAGACGACAACACAGGCCCACTTGGCATACATGACGCAGTCTCCAAGTCCACCAGCATGGCCTGTGTAGCATTTGACAATGCTTCAAATGTGTCCCGATATGGTGCCACCGCATCCCATCGCTCCGACATTACGGCAAGAACGATCATGCAAGAAGTGCACGTCGAAGACACGACGTCTCGTCGGATGGTATCCCTTGTCTCTGGACTGTTCCACAGGCAGTGGACGTAAGTCAAGCCAGCTAGGAATAGGACGTGCAGCGCACCCCAGGTATCATTCAATCGTTGACTCAGGTATAGCGTGCGATAAAGCTCGCAAATGGCTTGTGAGGAAGATGCGCAGTCTAGATACACCGATGCATCATCGCACTCAGGCGCTGCCCACCGGCTTTGATCGTGAGACGACCGTTGACGTACGACCAAGCGCCTTCTGTGGAGAAGTAGGATCGAGTGGTGATACATGAGTTTGTACCACTCGGGGCTACCGAATGCGTTGTTTGCTGCACAGCCCTCTACAAGTTGCTCTGGGGCGGCGTCCATCCACGCGCGAAGCTCGTCTTTGAACTTTTGCGTTGAAGAGGAGTTGCGATGCGGGGCCACACTATGTGTTTCTCGATAAATGGTGCGTTGCATGCGCGCCCATATACGTCGAAGGCGAATCGTATGGAGGGCGGAAGAGACCACTGTTGCTGGCTCTAAATTCGATGTACGCGCTTGAGCTAGAAATCCAGTCGGCGTGATATTCTCGTCGTCGATGTCCAAAAAGAGAGCAACATCAATGTCTTCGTCGGTAATAGACACAGGTCGTCCCAAAGTCACAGCACATGCTCTGTCAAGGTTGTAGGAGCACCAAAAGACGCGGCGTCGTACCTCCGTTTTGAGTGTGTTTGACTCGACTTTTGACCATGGAATATCTCGGTGAAGCCCCAGCTCAACACACTGGCGGACGGCTAACCCCGACAACGTCCAGATGGAAACTCCTATGGGCGACCGCAGTGAGTACATGGCACAGCAAAGCAGTGCCTGTATCGTTTCCAGACTATTGAGTTGCAAGACATGTTCGAAGAGATCTTCAGCAGCCGTATAAAGACTCTCCGGGAGGGGTGCGCCGGCGAAGGGCACCGCGAGAGCACCCACCGCGGTGACCATAAATACGAAGAACGCTTTCAGGGGGTCGGGGGTAAGCCCGTTCTCGCAGGCTGTCATAACAGCATCTTCATATTCGGTGTACGTCGGCCTATGCAGAAACGGATACTGTGGGTGGACGTTGTCGAAATAGGAAGTTGTTAATATCCGGGCTACTTCTCTGCCCGGCATGGGTGCTGGCACCGCACGTGGTCGACTTTGGACGAAGGAATTGGAGACACCCCCGAGTGTCATACCAGGACCTCGCACCTGGGCTCCTCTCAGACGGGCAGTAAATAGTTTCGTAAAAGAGAATGCGGAGGAGGACCCGAAGTAGTGAGGCTCTCCACCAGCAGCTCGAAGGCAAAGGAGATCTAGCACAGATGGGCCCTCGCTCAGCTCGTTCAGGGTCTCGCCATTATCGTTGGCTGACTCATTCTGCAGGCTAGCACACATTAGTAAAGAAACGCATTCGCTATGTCATTGGGTACACACCTGTCTTGAGCGTTTGCGTCGATCGATGCTACGATGGACACAGGTACTTCTTGGGGTTGCTGGGTGTGCTTGTGTGGGCGGTTGAAATCATGTTCTATGCTGTCAAAGTCTCCGTCGTCGACCGACAGCGATGCTTCGAGACGAGCCACGCGCTCCTCCAGTGCCTCGACATATGCTCGAGGATATTGCCGTTTGGTAGAGGGGTCTTCGATGATGCAGGCTGTTGATTGCGCATCAGCCGAGTTTAGATTGAAAGTTAATGGCTGTGTTCGCAACTCACTTCTTGATCCTTTCACACAATTTCCACACGAAGGTGCCCGGCCGTCACACTGGAGAAGTGATATTGTGAGTTCACCACAGGCGCTGAGAAGTTACCATACTACGCAGGCTCACCTTTTGCTTCTTCTGCTGGCAAGCAATGCAGGCGACTCGTGCTCGTTTGGCATGGGCCCGCACGGTGATTGTCGGAGATGGAGACATATTGACTGGAGTTGCTGCGGTTGTTGGAAACGAAGATGTTCCCCAACAGGGGTGATAAGTGAGCAGGATGTCATTGTCCGCGGCTATCCGTCGTTCTGGCTAGCAAGATAAAGGATGCACAGTGGTGGATCAGGTGCATGCATCAGTATCTCACATCCCTGTTAGAATGACCTCCCCCGCACTTACTGCGGCCAGTAGCCTGCGATAAGGGACTTCGGGTAAACGACGAAGCATATCACTGGCACTTCTTACCCGCGTTCCCTTGGATGAAATTGCCATGGAATGGAGTTATTGTTAACGATGGATAAATGAAGCGATCTCCGAAAACACCCAGTGCATAGAAGAGGTGCTATATGCTACTAACGCACTCCTAACAACCATCACCGTCCCGTCCATCATCATCATCAGTTTTCCACACGGATTTGAACTTTCGCCGGCTCGACAAAATCATCTAGACTCCTACCCCTCACATCTTCGTGGTCGTTCCGGGGGAGGCTGACAGCTGGCTTGCCGATTACGGGAGGCTTATCCACTAGATCAAGATATCCAGTTGTGGAGGTGTTCATCTCTTGTGCCATGATCATGCCGTTCCCCATCCACGCAAGACTATCACTCTCGTCTTCGTCATTTGAGACGTACTCAAAATCCTCAAATCGGGGATGCATCAATGTGGCACGTTGGTGAACAGCAGATCCAGGCCAGTAGCCCAACATCCTGCCATTAGATGTTCTCTTGGCCCAGTTATTGCACTGGTTGTTCGTTATCAGTACATACGGGACTGACTCCAAGAGAAAGTATGCTTACCGTGAAGGCGAAAGTCGTCTTCTCAAAATACCGGTCAACTTGCTTCATAAAGGCATTGACAGCCGAGATTCTGTTTCGAAATTGTCAATACCCACTCGATTCTTGTCTAAGCTTCAAATGCAGGCACAACTCACTTTGGAACCATGTACTTAAGGTTCTCGCGCTGCAGCTTCAGGATACACTTTATCATGTACTCGCAAGTTACCTCACTCATCTGGATCGTTGACCCCGCACCAGGAGCGCCATTCGGGCCAACAAAGAAGAAGCAGTTGGGCATTTCCGGAGGACACATTGACATGTAAGCGCCGGGCTCTTCTTCCCACAAGTCGTCGAGCGATACTCCGCCTCTGCCAAAGATTGGGGTTTCCTTGAGCGACAATGATGTGTCGAATCCAGTAGCACAGATGATAGCATCGACCTCTCTGTAAACCCCTACATCGTCCACTATCCCAGTTTCGGTGACCTGCTTGATTCCTTGGGGAATGAAGTTCAGATTGGGCTCTGTCAGAGCTTCGAGGTATCTTGGTCCTGGGGAGACCCGGCGACAGAGAACCGGGTATGCTGGCTTCAGGGCGTCAAATATCTCTGGTCTCGTGGCCAGTCTGCGCAACATCGAGTCTTCCGTGGCTTTCGAAAAGCTTTTGTTCATGTCTGATCCAACCCAATGGACAAGCTGAAACTTGTTGACGAAGTTTTCAACCTGGTGTCGGTAGTTGAGGTACTCCACTGGGTACTTCTCAAATCGGTCTTGCTCTTCGGGTGGGAAAGGGACTGCTCTCAATGTTAGCAATTCACCCATGTCAACATCAACAAATTTCCAAGACTTACAGTTATGAATGTCAGAAGTAGCCTTTCTCGGATCAGCAGCAACATAGCCAGCTGGCGAGATCCAAGCCTGTCCCCTCACATAGTGATCCATATGCTGCACCTCGGGTAAGATGGCTGGGACAAGCTGCACGGCTGTAGCCCCGTACCCAACCACTGCAACCCGCTTTCCCTTTGGATCGAAGCTTTCGTCCCAGTTGGCGCTGTGAATCAATGCCCCCCGAAACGTATGCAATCCATCAATCTTGGGCCACATCCATTTGTTAAGATTGCCTGTTGCCTTGACAAAGACATTGCAATAATCTTTAAACTCAGTGCCATCGGTCATGTTCACCAAGGTCACCTCCCACTGAGCCTCGTCTTCGAGCCATCGGGCGGACTTGAAGGCGTGTTGAAACTTGACCAATGATTTCATGCCGTATTTCTTTGCCACGCTTTGGAAGTAGCGACCGATCTCAGGTCCAGGTGAGAAGAAGTGAGACCAGTTGGGATTATTCTCGAAGGTGTACTGAAATGAGACCTACAAATGGTTATTGGATGCCCATGTTGGTGGCATTTGCCAAGTGACAGAACTCACGGACGGCACATCTGATGACACCAGGCGTAGCAGTCAGACTCAATGCATCAAAGGGCATTCCAGAATTGAGCTTACCACATGTAACTCCAGGATACCTGATTCTGTCAATGGTCAAATCGCTATTAGAGGAGGGAAGAAATCGCTTACCTATTCTCAAGCCAAACGCCGCCTACCTCTGAATTCTTCTCATAGATGACCAGGTCCAAATTCGGAATTCTTTGTTTGAATCGTATCCCGCATAGGATCCCGGACATTCCTGCACCGATGCAAATCACCTTCATCCTCCGAGCAAAGTCTACGGGAACGTCCCATGATTTGTGATTGCCATTGGTGTTCATCTTGGACACGATCGGACGCAGTAGGAGGATTGACAGCCCCAAGCGCGTTGGACCAGTACCCAGAAGAGGCCCGTAGGTTTCAGAAGCATATTCATCAAGTCAAAATCTCATTTTATTAGACTACTCCTGTGCTCGTAAGATCCAGCTGTTTAGATGGGATGGCCCAATTTGCTCACCACATGCTGACAAGTCACCTCACCAACATAGGAGATCGAGCACAACGCAGCCAGACTCAATGGTCGATTGTAATCGGAAACTGAGAGCCGCTTTGCTACGGACACAGCGGGTCGTTCCGTTTGGCGGCATGTGTGTGTAAAGTAACTCGGGTCGACCCGACTGGCACTGATCTGCACCCTTATCAGGGTGGGGTCGTCTGATATGAATACTCGGGTTGACCCGACATGATGGCCTCACCTTGCCCTCAACAACTGGGAACCCGTTATTTCCGGGACAAGTAATCTTATTGGATATATTAAATAGTACCTACTGAGAGGTGTGCGAGGTTTGTGGCCTCCACTAAGATGATGATTGATAGTAACGGACCGCAGGTGTACAAACTTGCGCTATCCGTTCTTGATATCAACTTTCGATTGAAGCAAGGACACGATACACGATACACACGTCACAAAATTTCATCATGGCGAACACATCATCACAAGAAGTCCTCACCATCTCTGAGCTGAAGCGAGCAGCTTCCGCTAAGCTGGACAAGACCGCCCGAGGTATGAATTCAAGGAATTAACTGCTGCATGTTTTTGGAATCTACTAACATGAACTTCAGAGTACTTCAATGAAGGGGCGATGGATATGATCACGTACTGCAAATGTTTTCTCTCTTGGCAAACTCAATTACTAACGGGTACGTAGGCTCAGAGATAACGAGCATGCTTTCGACAAGTACAAAATCCGTCAACGCATTCTCGTCGATGTAGCCTCAGTAGACACGAGGATTACTATGCTGGGGTCCGAAATTGCTCTCCCGCTCGCTTTCGCACCCGCTGCTATGCACGGACTTGCTCATCATGAAGCTGAGAAGGGCACGTCAAGAGCGGCCGCAGCCAAAAGTATCCCTATGGGACTTTCAACCTATGCAACCACCTCGCTTGAGGATGTCATAGAAGAGAAGGGAGAAAGCTCGAATCCTTACATGTTTCAACTGAGCGTCACAAAAGACCGCTCGGTCCCACTGGATTTGATGAAGCGGGCAGAGAGTAAGCAATCTTTTGGGCCTAGCTGATCAAGGGATTCATGTCCAACAACTAAAACCGAACAGAGGCGGGTTATAGAGCGCTCATACTGACAGTTGATGCACCTGTCCTTGGCCGGCGTCTGAACGAAACCAGGAACAAGCTCACCCTACCAGATAATCTGTGTTTGCCAAATCTGGGAGGCGTTCGTTCGCATCATAATCCTGGCCGGGATGCTAGCAATTCCTGGGAATCGATCATCCCCTGGGTGAAGTCTCACACCACACTCGAGGTTTGGCTCAAAGGCAGTAGGTACATGTGAAACTTCTCAACAGATACAACACTGATTGCAGCCTATCACAGTATATTGCAGCGAGGATGTGCTACTTGCTATTAAATACGGGCTCGATGGAATCATTGTTTCCAATCACGGTGGGAGACAGCTAGATGGCGCCGCTGCGACTATCGACGTGCTACTCGAATGTGCCGAAGCTGCCAAAGGCAGAATCAAGATCGGAATTGACGGTGGAATCCGCCGCGGGTCTGATATTTTCAAAGCCTTAGCTCTTGGGGCCGACTGTTGCTTTGTGGGGCGGATTCCCATTTGGGGTCTTGCGGTAAGAACGCCCCCAGATGCATAAACGTGTGAGGAGCATATTTAACTCACACGCAATACCATAGTACAATGGGGAAGAGGGAGTCAAGCTGGCAGTCGACATTCTGGAGCAAGAGTTGAGGACAACTATGGCCCTTGCTGGGTGCTCCTCCATCAAGGAGATTTCGCGCCATCATCTATCTATGCTGGGTACTAATGGTCTTTTGTCAAGACTATGACTTAGATTATTCTGATATTGTTTCAAAAGTGGGATCCACACAATTGCTGCAGCAATTGCACCTTAAGTTCGCAACAGATATGGTATGTATCTTATGGTTCACAACCTTTGTCGACATAATGACAAACCCCAGAGGAACATGGACAAACTGAACTATACAATCTGCGTCCGATGAAAAGATTTTGGCTTTGAGAACATCAGTGCCAGCAACTCCTCTGCCTAATATAATTGGAGATGCGTGTCATTTAGGTACCGTAGTACTTGTGATGACTTGGTGAGTCTAGGAGTTGAATGTTCATCAGGATGTCATTATTTAGCGTTCACATGAACCCAATTTTGACTTATATTTCAATTCACCTGGCATATTGATCCTTTCTGCGTAACATGAAGTGTAGATTTTGAAGTTAATTAGACTCGTGAGTCTGCTGTCGGCCGC